TAACACAAGCCTTACAGTGCTTACTTTGGGGCTAGGCTAATTGGTGTGAGTGTTGGAAATATTTATTTATATCATGTGTGTATATGTAAAATATATACTATATATTAGTGAATTCAATATTAATTTATTAGAAAATTCTAACTGGTGTACTAACATTAAATGCTTATTTCAATCATACAATGTGAAGCACTAGAATACTCCTTCAGCCACTTGTATAGACATTGTCAATACAAGTGGCTGACTTTTGACTTTTGTATTTGAGAAGATCGATTTATATTTTGTTGGATAATTAAAGCGACTGTTTTAATGTGAAAGGAATATCATAAAAAAAACTTTAATTTACAATAATATCCTTTGTTAATATTCTCGATGCGTGTAATAATAGAATTTATAACCCCTCGTTATAAATAACAAAACATAATAAAACTTGTAGTTGTGGCTGTTGAAAAAATTCTTTCGTTTACACCGCATAGACAATTAGTATCTCACAAATATAAATTACTTATTTACTTCACATATTTTGTATATCCAACAAGTTTGATGCATGTATTGTATACTACACATTTTAAACATGTATGAAGACATTGTATTAATTTTGTTAAATACATGCAATATACCTGGGTGTTAACGAGGGGTAAGGAAATGGGTGTGTTTAAAGTATTCTAATTATGTAACGAGCGTTTAAACGCCGAAAACACCTTTAGAAAATATTCATGATAGACTGACATACTGTGGCTATTTTTACAAGGATGACGCATTCGTCACTTAAACCGTTTAAATGTATTCGACACCACATTTGGTGTTATTTATACGGTTTAAGCTTTTACACCCACATAATGATGAAAGTATAAAAAACGCTATCGCTATCGCCATTGTTTCCCGAAGCGGCTGGTGATCTACGTCATTTATATTACAAAACTGTAGTTATATATCTACTAAATAAAACTAAAATCTACATTTTATTTTGATGCGTGTAGAATAAAAACACAAGATTTCTGGTGGTCCTTGCATCACACGTTATCGCAATAACCATCTCACACGTTGTTGGATAGCGAATAACCCCCATTGAACCTGTATTAACCCTTTTATACCCACTAAAGGTAGCGCAAATAGTGGCCCTTTTGAGGAGCAAAATTGGCTCTCTTTTAAGTCGCATTTGTGATATCGAGGCTTTTTTTAATGAAATGAAATGTGTTTTTTATAAGTTTTATTTAATGTGCTTTCAAGTAACACCAATATTGGTGGGGTTTATGCGTGTGTAAGGGTTAATAACGCTTGAAAGTTATTTTCGCTTAGGTGCGAGTTTTTTTAACGCCGAGTGTATATTATTCATATTTTTGTATCTATTTTAATCGTCATCTATACTTATCTACACTAATATTATAAAGAGGTTAAGTTTGTGAGGTTTTTGGTGGTAATTTTTGGCTTTACTGAACTGATTTTTGAAATTCTTTTACCAAAAGAAAACCATGTTATTTGTGACTGAAAACACTTTCACGTAGAAGCCACGAGCGGCCACTAGGATGATACATGACGCTCTGCAGCAGGAATATGGCGTGAAACTACCTATGTATATTGACGGATGCAAGATGGGGTCGAGTACCTCGGTCAGTACCCGTCGGAAGAAACTAAATTTAATATGAGTGGAGTTCGTTACTCTCGATGAATTCTATCGCTATAATACAATTTAGATTTCACACGCTGTCGTTAGCCGGCAGGAGGAATAGAAAATGCTCGTGGTGCGGGGGCGTTCACTCTCGATCGTTCTTAAAACTCTATGCGTACACGCGAACGCCGGGCCCGACAAACAGAATATATTTGCTGCGCGACTCGAAACAATACGACGCACATGAAAAATATTATGAGATATTTTAAATTCGTCTTACCTTCAGTATTTGACAGCTAATGGCTGTTCTTTAGTTTCAAACGTAAGGTTAAGTTTAACGTAAACAATTACATTTGACAAATATAGCTCAATGTATTTAAGAAAAAGCGGCCAGGTGCGTGTCGTGCCACGCGCAGTGTAGGGTTTCGTAGTTGCTCGTTGTCAACACTCTATATTTTGGAAAGAGTATATTTTAAGCAATTACTTCATCTAATCTGTTTTGGTCAGTGCATTCGCCCGGATAGCGAAGGATGCGGGTTCGAGTCCCGTCTGCTGCTTGGTTCGCGTAGAATTTTTTCTATTTTATATTTTCTTTAGATTTAAACATCAAGCAGTTACATGCTTAAAAAAATATGACTACTTCGTCTAAGTCACTTTTAATGTTTTCTTCTAGGATTTTTTTGGGTCAGTCTATTACTCTCAAACTAACAAATCAAAAAAAGGACAGACAGGCGGACATGGCGAAACTATAAGGGTTCCTTTTCAGGACTACGGAACCCTAAAAAAGAACTATAGTTCACTTGCAGCTTCTGTTCGTTTCTCACGTAGGCCACCGATTATGCTAGTGTTTGTTTTAGTAAGCACGTAGCAATTGTATCGTATATTATTTCGTTACGAAAATCCTTTTGCCAGACGAAGCGTATCGGTAACAATTGATTCGATCCAGTTGTCGAATTGACCGAGCGTTAAGTTGGCGCCCGCCTCGACGCCCGCGCCCCGCGCCCCGCCACCCATCCGCCAGGCCGACCGACCTGCCGGGACTGTGTTTTGAAATATATCTAGGTAGCTGTGCCCCCCCGAGGACGCTCTGGTGTAGTGACGCACGTAGGTGCGCTGATCCCAGAGCGCCCACATAAGGGCCGAGGAGGATACCGGTGGTTTTTAGTGGGTAGGACCGGCTTTGTTCCGCGCCGGGGAGTCCCACACACGTCGCGCGCCTGGCAAGCGCGCGGTATGGTGCGTAAATGCATTTTCCACCGTCAACAAAAAAAAAGAGTAGTTGTGCCCACGACTTCGTCTGTGTGGAAAAAACGATTTCCCATACAAACTTCCTTCCCTCCTTTTCACCCCCTTGATGGCTAATTTTTAGGATAAAAACTTCTGTGTTCTTTCGCGAGATTCAAACTATCTATATACCAAATTTTATGTAAATCGGTTTAGCGGTTTAAGCGTGACGAGATAACAGACAGGCGCACTTTCGCTTTTATAATATCAGTCCGGATTATAATTAATCTGCTGTGTGCTGTGTTTTAATTGTTTATAAATAGATATTAATTGTGTCGATATGGGACGGTTGAGGCGCGAACCAAACTAAGATACATTGTTGTTGTTTAACTACAGTTGAGGATCAGGAATATTATTAACCTTTCTTAATAATTTGAGGCAGTTTAATACAATTATGTATATAAATGATGTGCCAGTGGTTCGTGTGCGCGTATATATATACATTCACATATATAAGTTGATATATACAAGTATATACACAGAAATACATACATATTTCACAAAATATATACAAAAAAATGACGACAAACCACTCAACGAAACGCCCGTTCCAATAAATAGCTCGCAGTTTGGTTTTAAAGGTATAGGTTACTGGGGGACATTCTGATATCGAGCGGGAGATCATTCCACAAAAGAATAGTTTTTAAGAAGAAGGAAGAGTGAATAATACCGAAGCAGTGAGTTTGCACGATAAGTAAACGATAAGAAGAAGATTTTTAGTATGATATATTCTTTATTAAAATTCGATCAAATCATAATTATGTTTAAAAACTTTAAATTTTACATTCTCAATTGCAATGAGATCCTCATCATTCCGCAGCTGTTTTAAGTTCGTTTGTAAATAAAATAAAACTTGTAATGAAACGGCAAGTTATATCGTAAATGTTATTTACCTTATACAACGGTACTGATCTTTTGTGTACAAGTCAATTCGGTCTTGGCCGTCGTTTTTTTTATTATGTAGGATTTGTATAGTAAGCATTTCTCTATGGGTCAGAACTGAAAATCAGCGTGTTACTCTCGGGAGTAAATGTTACGCTGAGTTTTCGCCCATTCGCACCGCTGCTGCATACGAAAATATCAGTATAGTTGTATATATGTAATTTGTCTTCAATTTTGTATGTGTGCATGTTGGTGTGAATAAAGTTTTATCTAACTATCATTTCTTTTTAATTAAAAATAATCTCTGCGTAGTAAATTGTAAGTTTATGCTATACTTTAATAAATAAATAAACATTATTATCAGAAGGTGGCGTTTGAGACACTTGTATTTACAACAAATACTGATTGGTGAACATAAAAAGTGTCATCAATCATGTATATTTATTGCGGGCGGTGTTGGTGTACTTCGCAAGACATTGACTTGAATCATGATGATTCGCATTGGACTCTGCCAACTAAAGAACGATGCCAACTAACCAAATTACAAGGTGTTTTTACATATAAGCTTTATAGAGAGGCTGTCTCCATAATTCATCATGTATGGATAAATATAGTAAGGCAATGTTGCCGAGACCCGATGAGCAAATTCTCTTCAGGACATAAAAAATACAAAACTGTCAATAATTTTCAACCAATTGAACACGCGTCGCTTGCAGTTCGTGACCTGGTTCCGTGTCGATACCATAAGTATTACGGTTACATATCATGTACGATGCTGATTAGTGAATTTTATTAACAAAGAAAAGAGCGAATTATGGTTCCTCTATAATGTTATGTATACCAGATATAAATCCCTGTTCCCATGACGATTCTTAAATTAAACTTTGTTTTTATTGTTTCATAAAACTTTTTGATGAGCAGTTATCCTATCCTATCCGATGACTTAGATACACCATCTTATCCGCCTAAGATCAGCTTATGGCCTCAGCCAATAGGGTGGATCCTGCGACATGTGACCCTATGGTGTACAAACAGAATAGACTAAGCGTTCCCTGACAAACTTTCAAGTTAAACCGAGTTAAAAAGTGTGAGAGAGACGAAGTGATAGTGCGGCCATTAGTTGGTTCCACCAATAAATAGCATTCTCTCTCTAGAGAGGTGTTAATTTTGTGCTAGTATTACTCTGTCTCTATGTGTATGATTGTAACCGAACTCCGTGTTGTTGCAGGGAGACATATTAGAATGTCCGCTATGTTTATCGGGCGTGGGCGGCGCGGGCGGCGCCAACGTGGTGCGGCTGGCGTGGTGCGCGCACCGCTGCTGCGAGCCCTGCCTGCGCCAGTACCTCGCCATCGAGATCTTCGAGGCGCGCGTGCCCGTCAACTGCCCCGTCTGCCACGAGAACATGCACCCGCTAGGTGACTACCTTATATACACCGCTGCTGCGAGCCCTGCCTGCGCCAGTACCTCGCCATCGAGATCTTCGAGGCGCGCGTGCCCGTCAACTGCCCCGTCTGCCACGAGAACATGCACCCGCTAGGTGACTACCTTATATACACCGCTGCTGCGAGCCCTGCCTGCGCCAGTACCTCGCCATCGAGATCTTCGAGGCGCGCGTGCCCGTCAACTGCCCCGTCTGCCACGAGAACATGCACCCGCTAGGTGACTACCTTATATACACCGCTGCTGCGAGCCCTGCCTGCGCCAGTACCTCGCCATCGAGATCTTCGAGGCGCGCGTGCCCGTCAACTGCCCCGTCTGCCACGAGAACATGCACCCGCTAGGTGACTACCTTATATACACCGCTGCTGCGAGCCCTGCCTGCGCCAGTACCTCGCCATCGAGATCTTCGAGGCGCGCGTGCCCGTCAACTGCCCCGTCTGCCACGAGAACATGCACCCGCTAGGTGACTACCTTATATACACCGCTGCTGCGAGCCCTGCCTGCGCCAGTACCTCGCCATCGAGATCTTCGAGGCGCGCGTGCCCGTCAACTGCCCCGTCTGCCACGAGAACATGCACCCGCTAGGTGACTACCTTATATACACCGCTGCTGCGAGCCCTGCCTGCGCCAGTACCTCGCCATCGAGATCTTCGAGGCGCGCGTGCCCGTCAACTGCCCCGTCTGCCACGAGAACATGCACCCGCTAGGTGACTACCTTATATACACCGCTGCTGCGAGCCCTGCCTGCGCCAGTACCTCGCCATCGAGATCTTCGAGGCGCGCGTGCCCGTCAACTGCCCCGTCTGCCACGAGAACATGCACCCGCTAGGTGACTACCTTATATACACCGCTGCTGCGAGCCCTGCCTGCGCCAGTACCTCGCCATCGAGATCTTCGAGGCGCGCGTGCCCGTCAACTGCCCCGTCTGCCACGAGAACATGCACCCGCTAGGTGACTACCTTATATACACCGCTGCTGCGAGCCCTGCCTGCGCCAGTACCTCGCCATCGAGATCTTCGAGGCGCGCGTGCCCGTCAACTGCCCCGTCTGCCACGAGAACATGCACCCGCTAGGTGACTACCTTATATACACCGCTGCTGCGAGCCCTGCCTGCGCCAGTACCTCGCCATCGAGATCTTCGAGGCGCGCGTGCCCGTCAACTGCCCCGTCTGCCACGAGAACATGCACCCGCTAGGTGACTACCTTATATACACCGCTGCTGCGAGCCCTGCCTGCGCCAGTACCTCGCCATCGAGATCTTCGAGGCGCGCGTGCCCGTCAACTGCCCCGTCTGCCACGAGAACATGCACCCGCTAGGTGACTACCTTATATACACCGCTGCTGCGAGCCCTGCCTGCGCCAGTACCTCGCCATCGAGATCTTCGAGGCGCGCGTGCCCGTCAACTGCCCCGTCTGCCACGAGAACATGCACCCGCTAGGTGACTACCTTATATACACCGCTGCTGCGAACACTGCCACGTCGCTTCACTCTCACAGCTCCCTCTAACAGTGGAGTGGTGGCAATAGAATAAGTTAACTGATGCTGTCTCATTCGTTCTGACGATTTTCTTACATAAAATATGACTGTTGAATCACGATTATCACGTCTGTTGGTAACAAGAGCTAACTAGATAATTGATCTATGGATCAGTGTCACCAACTTCTAAAATTTTACCCCTAAAATTAAACTGAACATACCCTACCTATCGAACATACATTGTATTTTTACCTTTTTAAGCAACCTTTTTTTTTATCTTATAGATGTTTAAGGGGTTACACGCAATTGTAAGGCCTAAAAACCGGTTCTTTTAGATTTTTTTCTGAATAGGGATGTCATTTGACAAATACAAGGGTATTCAATAAATGTAATGGTAACTTTTTACTTCACTTGGGTGCTTTTAATTTTTAAAATTATTAGAAAAAAAATCCACGCGGACCAGACAGCAAACGAGATTCGCACCCTCCGCTATTCGGGTGGATGCACTGATCATAATGCTATTTCTTCTCGACACGGACATAATTGCCGCGGTAGTATAATGTTCAGTGTATTCACCCGGATAGCAGCGGATTCGAGTCCCATCTGCTGCCTAGTCCGCTTGGAATCGTTTCTACTAAAATTTTCTGTAGATTCACACGCAAGATACGCTGTATGTGGTTCGACACTTAATCTCCTTAGATTCAGTATTACCTAGAACAAAAATCTACCTAATAGTTAACGTGACATATTATTTCAACGGGAAAAAGGCTAAATATTGAAAATACCCTTAACAAAATTTAAACCCTATAAGAGCCACCCACTCGCTATTTTCCTGTACGTTCCCAAGGCTACGCCTCGCCCACGCTATATTTGGTATTTATTGAGTCTTAGATGCTGTCTGAATCAATAATGATAGCCTATCATCTGAAAGACGTTCCCGAAATTGTCCTGCTTTTTATCTATACTTATAATAAATCTGTAGAGATGTCAATTCTGTACATGAAATATATTTTTAAAATAACTATCAGGGGGTGATTAGTGATCGATACTGATGCCAAAAATGCAATCAGTAAAATTTTTGTCTGTCTGTCTGTCTGTGTGTATGTTCCTTATAGAAACAAAAACTACTCAACGGATTTTAACGAAACTTGGTACAATTTTTCTTCATACTCCTGGGCAGGTTATAGTATACTTTTCATCACTCTACAATCAATAGGAGCAGAGTAGTGAAGGGAAATGTTAGGAAAACGGGAGAAGTTACTCCATTTTTTAAGCTTCCGTCGCGGGTGCAGCCTTAATGGTTAAAGTTACATAGAAATAATGTATGACGGAAATATTCTACATAAAATTGTCTAAAAAATATCCCGCAACAACATATGTCTATCTTTTATGGTTGACTCACAATAACACGTGTAATTATATAAATAAAGTCATTCTTTATAGCACAAGCCTGAGAACAAAAACTATAGTTTACACTACAGCTCTACATCGAAGCGAAGCGAGGGCGGGCCACTAGTTATACATAAAACCGAATATAATGTCAGAGAATTAGTTTATATCCGGGGTCATTATGATATCTTGTTGTACCTATATGAAAAGCTCGATGGCGCCGGTGGTGCGGCCGGCGATCGTGGAAGTTACACAACTTTGGCAATGGTCGGTTATTGGAATGGTTTCGGCTGCATCTGCAGTCGTTAACACCCACCAATCCGTACTGGGTCCTAATCGTGGACCAATCTCCCTATTCCATCAATAGGGATAGCTTGTGTGTGCCACAGCAGTGGGGACGTAGACTAATGCTAATATGACGAAATCTGTAATTTATTTCGCTGTGATAAGAGTTGACTATCCTTTTAAACAAGAAAATAGTGAGTCAGCGGCTGGTATGCTGTGTGAGTCAACGCGCTAACTGCAGCGTTTTCTCCAGTCGATTTGTGAATGATTTTGTATAAGCCGTGGCTGATGCAACACGTTTTGTGACTCAGACGTTTATGAAAAAAAAATACTGTAATGGTTGTATTGTAGATTCCTTGTGAAGTCGATAGGAGGTGAAAGCTACTGTCGGGGTAGCGAGCTACAGTAATGTATTATGAACGATGAACGCACAGAACACAGCACAGCACAGTTTATAAATAACCAATTCCGAAGCAGAACTACGATATTATATTTATATATTTAAGAATTCAAGTGCTAGATGTTTAAATCTTAATCCAGTTTGAAACCCGGGCCGAGTGGATTTTTTGCTGTAATTTTTTTTTAGATTTAAAGAAGTAGGATAGCTTAAGACGCCTGATACATTGCCATTTAAGAGCATACAACGTTTTCTTAAAAACACTAGATACATCTTTCTGAACCCCTGTAATTAGTTAGGTTAGATCTTAATATCAAACAGGGCATTTTCCAAAATTTGTTCCCCAAAAGGATCAGCGCAACTTTGTGTTGTGGTTTTGAACAATATCGTGAGTTTTTGTGTGTTGACTCATCTCCGCCAGGCGTCGGACACTGCATTTTTTCTCAATGAATACTTTATGCCTGTACTAGAGAACAGAGCTCGCGTCCGGTATGTTGTAATATGTACTCCATATACGGGGTATTTCCCCAGTGATATCGTCAGCGTCAGCGCCTAAAATAATGCGCAAATAATACAAAGAACATTACTTAATCATGGGTTGGGCTGGCGAATTCCGTTGATATTAGCCGTTAAGTAGTACTTTATTATATTTGTTTTACTATACCGCATTGAAAGAAAAAACATTTTTAAAAGAAAGGTTTGAATTAATCATTTACTCGTAACCCAACATTTCACATTTAAGTAACCTAGTCTAATTAAGTCATACAAAAATAGCTCAAGAAATGGACCCCTAACCCAGAAACTGTATTATCAGGGTTAGAATTATCAATCATTCAATTAAAATCAGTTTGAATTAATTAGGTCCGAGTTATTTTCAAATTATATCAAAATGATTATAATCAAATAATTAAGCTTGTTTTATATTTAATTGTCATGTTTTATATATAATTGTTTCGTGAGGAAATAAATGAGTTGTTCGACCTGTCTGTTCTCACGAATAATGAAGTAACAATAGAAATTCCCATCGCGAAAAAATATTGCTGAATTCGATGACAAGTCTGTATTGTTTGCGATGTTTATTGTCCATCTATTTTTACATGGACGTGTATGTCACAGGGTTCAGTGAGCCAGAACTAAATATGACAGTAATATGTGTTGAACTAAGCATAAATTGTAGGTATGAATCAATGGAAATTCTGAACACCCTTAAAAACCTTGGGTAGACTAGAATAATAAACAATGTCAACGCAGGTTTTACAAAGATTTATTAATGCATTTATTTCTCCCTTATATGATTGAAATTCGTTGTTCAAGTTATTCAGTTCGGTGTGATGAGAATTTAAATATTATGTATCTACTTGTATTTTACTCTTTTTTATTTACATATTCCTATTACAATATACTTGAGATAGGGTAGCCAGGTACTGGCTTAACAATTCCAGGACATTTGCACATTTGTAATTTTTTCAGAGGGGGGCATCTGAAAAAATTAAGTATCAAATGAAACCCCTCATCACCCCCCAGAATTACAACATCAAGCAGGCAAGCGGTGTCATTCGTTATTATTTTATTTTGTTACGAAACTACCGCATTAACGTGATCCGGGACAATAAGGTCTAATTGCTGGACATTTACCGGCCATCTAGCAAATCCAACTTGAGAAGAGCTCTGCTGAGAATTGAGTATTTAAGGATATCTCTAGGCCCTAGGCGATCATACGGCCATTACCCTACGTGAATACAGCGTTTACGTCGAATACATTAAACTATACTGTACTAGTTTTACGTGAATTGTTTTCTACATCACGGCATATAGTTTACATGTCAGTCGCATCAAACTTTATACGATCATGCGTGACGAGCGTTTACGTAAATCATCATACTGCACGACAGCATGCAGTTTGCATATCATTCGTATCAGTTAATAGAACTAAACGGTCATGCATGTGTAGCAAGTTAAGTACGTCACTTTACAGAGCGGTAGAAACGATGGGTCCTCGGGACGCTGCAAATAAGAATTCCTCAAGGAAAAAGACTGTGCAAAACCTCGGTGGACCCAAGATCAGGGGGCCATTCGCCTATACGATACGATTTCATTTTGATATTTCTAGCCGCCTGAGGTTTTCAAATGCCTCGCGCTCTTTTTTTTCTTTTGCATTGGTAATAACAATATTAAAGAAAATGAGTGAGGTTTTTGAAACCTTCGGCGGTCAGAAATAACACAATGAAATCGAAAGCGTTAGCGTTTTCCAAAGCATTTTCGTTAGGCGAATGGCCCCCTGATAGCTGAACGCAAAAGTTTGGCGATATAGCGAGCTAGGTAGCGTACCAGTGTTGGGTTATGGAGACCGTGTCTCGCACAGTGGCATTAAACGAAATATTTAACTTATTACCTATTTTTATACGTAATTAATACAACGTGGTTATAATATTGTGCGTTTGTTGCCAGATGTGCGGAGGATCCTGGACAACCCAGTTCTATACGAGAAATACGAGGAGTTCTCGGTGCGGCGCGCGCTGGCCGCGGACCCGGACACTCGGTGGTGTCCCGCGCCGGACTGCAGCTTCGCCGTCGTGGCCAGCGGCTGCGCGTCCTGCCCCAAGCTGACCTGCCTGGCGCCCGGCTGCGGCGCCTCCTTCTGCTACCACTGCAAGGCGGCCTGGCACCCCACGCAGACCTGCGACGCGGCCCGCCGCACAAGGCAACCGCCGCCCCGCGCGCCCTCCGCCAACCACGCGGACCTGGACCACGGTGAGGCACTACACTACACTACACTACACTACACTACACTACACACAGACACACAGGCGCCCCCTTCTGCTACCACTGCAAGGCGGCCTGGCACCCCACGCAGACCTGCGACGCGGCCCGCCGCACGCGGCAACCGCCGCCCCGCGCGCCCTCCGCCAACCACGCGGACCTGGACCACGGTGAGGCACTACACTACACTACACTACACTACACTACACACAGACACACAGGCGCCCCCTTCTGCTACCACTGCAAGGCGGCCTGGCACCCCACGCAGACCTGCGACGCGGCCCGCCGCACGCGGCAACCGCCGCCCCGCGCGCCCTCCGCCAACCACGCGGACCTGGACCACGGTGAGGCACTACACTACACTACACTACACTACACTACACACAGACACACAGGCGCCCCCTTCTGCTACCACTGCAAGGCGGCCTGGCACCCCACGCAGACCTGCGACGCGGCCCGCCGCACAAGGCAACCGCCGCCCCGCGCGCCCTCCGCCAACCACGCGGACCTGGACCACGGTGAGGCACTACACTACACTACACTACACTACACTACACACAGACACACAGGCGCCCCCTTCTGCTACCACTGCAAGGCGGCCTGGCACCCCACGCAGACCTGCGACGCGGCCCGCCGCACAAGGCAACCGCCGCCCCGCGCGCCCTCCGCCAACCACGCGGACCTGGACCACGGTGAGGCACTACCCTACACTACACTACACTACACACAGACACACAGGCGCCCCCTTCTGCTACCACTGCAAGGCGGCCTGGCACCCCACGCAGACCTGCGACGCGGCCCGCCGCACAAGGCAACCGCCGGCAACACATGCACCACACACATAATTACAATAGCGATATATAATACACGCGCGCCGTGATGGTGTCATTAAGCGCGTTTTATTACTTTATATCATCTTCTTCGCTTCAAATGCCCACGTGCAGTAGTTTACTTACCGTGTGGCCACGATTCCAACGCAAAAAAACTATTTCATAATTTATATTCTTGCGAATACAAATTATGAAATCTTTTTTAACGTAAATATCAATATAATCTTTTTTTAATAATTCCAAAAAAATTCATATTTTGCCGTTCCCGTGTGCGCGTGAAAAGAAGCTTTTTTGCAGAATATCATTCAAAAGATATATATATTTAAGTACATATAATTATGTTTATTTAACGTGATGAGTAATGCTAACGGTGGCCTCCATGTTGTGCAGGTGAGGTGAAGCCGTGCCCTCGGTGCTCGGTGCTGATCGTGAAGGTGGAGGACGGCTCCTGCAACCACATGGTGTGCTGCGTGTGCGGCGCCGAGTTCTGCTGGCTCTGCATGAAGGAGGTCTCCGACCTGCACTACCTCAGGTGATGTGACACCCACACCCATGCACCCTCACTACACCGCATTCAAGGTCACCCCATGTGTGCTGCGTGTGCGGCGCCGAGTTCTGCTGGCTCTGCATGAAGGAGGTCTCCGACCTGCACTACCTCAGGTGATGTGACACCCACACCCATGCACCCTCACTACACCGCATTCAAGGTCACCCCATGTGTGCTGCGTGTGCGGCGCCGAGTTCTGCTGGCTCTGCATGAAGGAGGTCTCCGACCTGCACTACCTCAGGTGATGTGACACCCACACCCATGCACCCTCACTACACCGCATTCAAGGTCACCCCATGTGTGCTGCGTGTGCGGCGCCGAGTTCTGCTGGCTCTGCATGAAGGAGGTCTCCGACCTGCACTACCTCAGGTGATGTGACACCCACACCCATGCACCCTCACTACACCGCATTCAAGGTCACCCCATGTGTGCTGCGTGTGCGGCGCCGAGTTCTGCTGGCTCTGCATGAAGGAGGTCTCCGACCTGCACTACCTCAGGTGATGTGACACCCACACCCATGCACCCTCACTACACCGCATTCAAGGTCACCCCATGTGTGCTGCGTGTGCGGCGCCGAGTTCTGCTGGCTCTGCATGAAGGAGGTCTCCGACCTGCACTACCTCAGGTGATGTGACACCCACACCCATGCACCCTCACTACACCGCATTCAAGGACACCCCATTGCGCTAAGCCGACTATAGTAAAAACACTATATACAACAACACGAACAAAATCGTGGCCAAAACCTGACCAAAAGGTACATTGGACAATCCACGGAGCTTCGTAAGATGAGCGCGTAGTCAAAAACAATATAAGGTATTATTTACACATCGAAAGTCACATTTAATGCATACTGCATAAGTTCTTAATTTAAACGCATTCGTCTAAGAGTAATGACATTTCGAAATGAAAGCTCTTAAAATTTTACGACTTATTGCCATAGGCGGAAGATTATAGACTTTATTTCTTTGGCTCTAAGTGCAATTCTGCGGATACGGATCCTAATGTGCGTGCTCCGTGTCTGTGGAAATGGTATATTATTATAGTATTGATATATTAGCTGGAACAACTAATATATCAATACTATAATAATACAATTCTAAGATATTTTATGAAGATTTTTGCGGCTGAACATGAACAGGCAATCAAAATGTTTACACAGCACAGAGTTAATGCTTCTTTCAGCGAGATTAACGCAGCTATTGTTTCTTCTAAGGAATGCAATCTCGCAAGATAATTTCCATCCCAGTATTTGTGGGATTTCACAAGCTTAATCCCGCTTAATCGAAACAAGTAATGCACAATACAAATTCCGTTTTTACACATTTCAATATAAATGTATAAAACAAATAAATAACACTTATATTTATTGCACCTACGTCACATCATATTAAAATATTTTCAATGATATTCCTAACATATAAATTTATAAACACAAAAAAATAAACATTATTTATGGTGACACGTCTGTCACCTTTAACCCTTTTTATTGCTTGAAAAGGGGTTACAGTGACAGAGTGGTCACCATAAATAAAGTATTTTTTTAGTGTTTATATATTTATATCTTTAGTAGTATTATTATAGTTAACGTTACATCTCATTAAAGGCGTTATTAACAATGTATGTCAGTTATTCTATATTTTGATAGATATGTTTTAGTTGTTGTTTTACAAAAAATCTAACCTAACCTTCTTATCAATAAACAGAGATCAAGCATGGATTAGTTACTCCATGTTTTGTCTCTGTTTATTGAATGACAAGTGGCATTTAAAGGATATGAACAAAATATGGCGTAACTAGTCTAAGCTTATTCCTCATTTATTAATGGAGGGGATAGAGAGAATGGAGTGTTTTGGTTAGTTAGATTTATCTGTTGTTTTCGTACATGTCGAATATTATAAAGACAATATTTTTATATGTTTTTCAATGATTTAACTCAGAAACTACCGGATCGATTCCATACTGTTTTATCTCCGTGCAAAATAATATTGAATCTCTTTAAAAGAAGTCGGGTCTGTGAGGATCGCCGTTTCACTTGTGTAATTGTGGCGGGTGCGTTGCGTTGCAGTCCGTCGGGGTGCACGTTCTGGGGCAAGAAGCCGTGGTCGCGCAAGAAGAAGCTGCTGTGGCAGCTGGGCACGCTGGCGGGCGCGCCACTCGGCATCGCGGTAGTGGCGGGCGTGGCGCTGCCGGCCCTGCTCGTGGGGCTCCCGCTGTGGGCCGGGCGCCGCGCCCATCGCCGCCTGCGCCGGGCCCCGCCCGCGCAGCGCCGCGCCGCCGTCGCCGCCGCCGTCGCCGCTGCGGTGAGTGTGTGTATATACAGGGCGCCGCTGTGGGCCGGGCGCCGCGCCCATCGCCGCCTGCGCCGGGCCCCGCCCGCGCAGCGCCGCGCCGCCGTCGCCGCCGCCGTCGCCGCTGCGGTGAGTGTGTGTATATACAGGGCGCCGCTGTGGGCCGGGCGCCGCGCCCATCGCCGCCTGCGCCGGGCCCCGCCCGCGCAGCGCCGCGCCGCCGTCGCCGCCGCCGTCGCCGCTGCGGTGAGTGTGTGTATATACAGGGCGCCGCTGTGGGCCGGGCGCCGCGCCCATCGCCGCCTGCGCCGGGCCCCGCCCGCGCAGCGCCGCGCCGCCGTCGCCGCCGCCGTCGCCGCTGCGGTGAGTGTGTGTATATACAGGGCGCCGCTGTGGGCCGGGCGCCGCGCCCATCGCCGCCTGCGCCGGGCCCCGCCCGCGCAGCGCCGCGCCGCCGTCGCCGCCGCCGTCGCCGCTGCGGTGAGTGTGTGTATATACAGGGCGCCGCTGTGGGCCGGGCGCCGCGCCCATCGCCGCCTGCGCCGGGCCCCGCCCGCGCAGCGCCGCGCCGCCGTCGCCGCCGCCGTCGCCGCTGCGGTGAGTGTGTGTATATACAGGGCGCCGCTGTGGGCCGGGCGCCGCGCCCATCGCCGCCTGCGCCGGGCCCCGCCCGCGCAGCGCCGCGCCGCCGTCGCCGCCGCCGTCGCCGCTGCGGTGAGTGTGTGTATATACAGGGCGCCGCTGTGGGCCGGGCGCCGCGCCCATCGCCGCCTGCGCCGGGCCCCGCCCGCGCAGCGCCGCGCCGCCGTCGCCGCCGCCGTCGCCGCTGCGGTGAGTGTGTGTATATACAGGGCGCCGCTGTGGGCCGGGCGCCGCGCCCATCGCCGCCTGCGCCGGGCCCCGCCCGCGCAGCGCCGCGCCGCCGTCGCCGCCGCCGTCGCCGCTGCGGTGAGTGTGTGTATATACAGGGCGCCGCTGTGGGCCGGGCGCCGCGCCCATCGCCGCCTGCGCCGGGCCCCGCCCGCGCAGCGCCGCGCCGCCGTCGCCGCCGCCGTCGCCGCTGCGGTGAGTGTGTGTATATACAGGGCGCCGCTGTGGGCCGGGCGCCGCGCCCATCGCCGCCTGCGCCGGGCCCCGCCCGCGCAGCGCCGCGCCGCCGTCGCCGCCGCCGTCGCCGCTGCGGTGAGTGTGTGTGTATATACAGGGCGCCGCTGTGGGCCGGGCGCCGCGCCCATCGCCGCCTGCGCCGGGCCCCGCCCGCGGTGAGTGTGTGTATATACAGGGCGCCGCTGTGGGCCGGGCGCCGCGCCCATCGCCGCCTGCGCCGGGCCCCGCCCGCGGTGAGTGTGTGTATATACAGTGTTCGTTTGACTCATGCGTACGTTGTCCTGCCCCACAGCTGGTGGTGTCCCCGCTGGTGGCGGGGCTGGCGGTGGGTATCGGCGTGCCCATCCTGCTGTTCTACGTGTACGGGGTGGTGCCGGTGTCGCTGTGTCGCGCGGGGGGCTGCGGGCCGCCGCCGCACCCGCGCCCGCACCGCTTCGACGAGCGCGACGAGCCCGACGCGGCCTCGCGCCGCCTCGAGCCCAGCATCGGTGAGTACGGTACCGTTAGCACTGACCATAATCGAATTCGAATAGTTTGCGAGTCTGAAATGTCATTGTCAAATGGAATGCAGTCGGGTGGGCGAGTTGATGCAATCTATACCGATTATAGCAAGGCATTTGATCGGATTGATCGCGTGTTACTGCTCGGAAAGCTACAGTCGGCGGGTATACGCGGAAATCTTTTCCGGTGGTTAAGTTCTTATGTTGCCAATCGACGCCAAACGGTCGTTCTTAACGGTTTCTCTTCCCACTCACGTTTCTCGGCCATTCCATCTGGTGTACCACAGGGATCCATTTTAGGTCCTCTTCTATTTATTATATTTCTTAATGACATTAATATATGCTTCGAACACTCACAAATACTACTATTTGCAGATGACATGAAAATTTTCAGAAAGATTGGCTCATTTCACGATTGTGTACTTATGCAACAGAATCTCGTTAGGCTACAGGACTATTGTCTTGCAAATAAACTCGACCTTAATATATCTTAATGTAATGTATTACTTTCAGTATCTCTGTCAAAATATCCTCTACTTCAACTATAAAATTAATATGCAGTCATTCCAGCGTACAGATTACATAAAAGACCTGGGCGTAATCTTTGATTCGAAACTCCTTCTAGATAGGCACATTGATAATATAACATCAAAAGCCATGAAAATGTTAGGGTTTATCTTCAGATCAACCAAAGATTTTAAAATAGCAAAATCATTAAAAAATTTATTTTGCTCTTCACCTGGAATACGCATCCCAGGTCTGGAATCCTCACTATGATGGTTATATTAATCAATTAGAAAAGATCCAAAAAAAGTTCCTGAAGTTTTTAAACTTCAAATTTGGGTTAAGTCCAGGACCAAATTATATTGTTAACTGCCAACGACACCATCTTCTTCCACTATGTAAACGCAGAGAAGCTGCGGACCTAACATTTTTCCACCACTTAATTCTCTGCAAGATAGACAGCAATGAGCTGCTATCATTGATTAAAATCCAGGTACCATTCCGTACAGTTGGCAGACGCAATTATCTGCGATTCCATACTGATTTATGTTCGACAAATTATAGACAGAATTCCTACTTTAATAGAGTAAAACAAAATTTCAATAATAATTATTCAAGTGATGTGGACGTATTCCTGGCGAAACAAAATTATTTCAAAAAGATTGTGAATAGTAATTTTTTTAATAATTGTCCGATACGTATTGTCGCATCATTTGCTATGCAAGTTTTAGTCTTAATAAAATCATTATAGAGGAAACACGTGTTATCAATTCGCAATCACCTGATAAAGAATTCTCAACCTTATGTCGAAGACATAGTGGCCAAAACGAGCCGGATTACGACGTAGTAAACAACTGCAGCGGCCGGTCGGGCGAATACAATAGATGAATAGACGGCCTTTTGTGTGATTTTTTTACGTACTGGTTCGATGCAGTTTTTTCTATATGAAGTTTACATTAATGCAAATATAAGTGAACGTTGAGTGAGTGCATTTTTGAATATTAGTGAGTTTTACAACCGATAATAAACTACATAAAGATGACAACGCCGACTGCGGAACAAAGTACGTATATGAATACATTGGAAGACATAGCTAGTATGCTACAAAAGCCACAAATAAATATCAAAAAATGCCCTAAACAAAGATTAACTGTTGGTTATATAAAAACAAGATTAAAAATTATAGAAGATTATTGGAGCGAATTTAAACAAACGCATGACAAACTTATCAGGTGTACGCCGCGTGAACAAAGGGGAATGATGCCATATTTTCTTCGCGAAGAATATTATACATACGAAGATTTATACATATCCCTTCAAGCTGATTTGACTGATTTATTGATATCATTAGAAAGACCAACTAAAAGGAGTGAAGACAATTCCAGTATATCTAATTCAAATGTATCACAAGATGGTCAGTTTTCGCTCGCTAGATTGCCAAGAATACAATTACCTACCTTCTCGGGGAGATATGAAGATTGGCCTACATATCAAGATTTATTCACGGCGCTTGTTCACAACACTTCTCTATTAGTAATGTACAAAAATTGCATTATTTGAAAACAAGCATTTCTGGAGAAGCTGAGATGTTATTACGACATATTCAAATAACGGAGGATAATTATACTCAAGCGTGGCAATTGCTTAAAGGGCGTTTCGGCAGTAAGAAAATGATTGTGAATTCAGTTATGAAAAAATTATTCAATCAGAAAAAAGTGAATAATCTTTCGGCCAGTCAAATCAAATCATTAGTTGATACAACAACAGAGTGCATTAATAGTTTGAATAATTTAAAAATATGTACAGACTCTTGGGATCCGGTAATCATATTTCTAGTTGGACAAAGATTGGACTCGGAGTCGTTAAAGGACTGGGAAGAACATGCTTACAAGAAAAGTGATGAAATGCCAACATGGAGTGAATTGAAACAATTTCTTGAAACAAAGTTCCGTACCCTTGAGTTAATATCTTCTATGGCAACTACTTCAACAAGGGATAAGTCTCAAGTTTCCAGGTCGTTTCACGTCTTGACAACCAATGAAGAAGAAGACGATAGTTTGCAAATATCCGTTAATGCTAATTTTAATTCACAACATTTGTGTACATATTGTAAGGGTAATCACTATATTTTTAACTGTAAAGAGTTCGGAAAATTAACATTAGAACAAAGACATGATCATGTTAGAAAAAACCGTTTGTGCTTTAATTGTTTGATACCTAACCATAATGTATATAAATGTAAACAAAGGAAGACATGTCGCATTTGTGGAAGAAAACATCACTCACTGTTACATGAAGAAAGAGGAATAAAACTAAATAAGGTCATAAAAATTCTAGGACTAACGTGGGATAGAAAGGAGGACATATTTGTCACTGTTACAGTTCATTTAACTGAAATGTCATATCCCATTACTAAAAGATCGGTTCTTTCAGATGTGGCTCGCCTATTTGATCCGTTCGGATGGCTGTCGCCAGTAGTGATCCGAGCGAAAGTACTCATACAAAGACTGTGGTTGTGTAACTTGGGTTGGGATGATGAACTAACGCAAGAATTGTGTGAAGAGTGGGTAAACTTCAGGTTAGAATTGACACATCTGCAAAACATAAAGATTCCGCGATGGTTAAGGACTAATGAATATAAGAATAAAATTGTACAGCTACATGGTTTTGCAGATGCATCAACCCAAGCATATGCAGCAGTTACTTACCTACGGGTACTCGAAGATGATGGCACAGTGCACGTCACACAAATAGCGTCTCGTACAAAGGTTGCACCTTTGAAGCAAATATCAGTTCCTAAATTAGAACTATGTGGCGCAGCGTTGCTAGCAGAACTTGTAAGTGATCTAGTAGACATTCTAAATGTATCTAAATCCGAAGTATACCTATGGACTGATTCTACAGTTGTGTTATCATGGCTTCAATCACAGCCCAACCGTTGGCGAACATTTGTGGCTAACAGAGTCGCAGATATCATACGAGTTCTAGATAATGATCAATGGAGGCATGTTCATTCGAGTGAGAACCCTGCTGATATAGCCACGAGAGGGGTAAGGGCATGCGATTTGCCGACACAAAAACTTTGGTGGAGTGGACCCGAATGGTTACGCCAACGGGACTTACAATTTCACAGACGTGATATTCCAAAGACTGATTTAGAGTTACGAGTTTCGTTAAACTCAAATATAATAGAACATCCAATATGGGAAAGGTTTTCAACGTTATCTAGGATGAAGCGGATACTATCTTATTGTATAAGATGGATTGCAAAAAATAAACTAAGACGGCAAGAAATTTATATTACAGCGACTGAAATGGAAGACGTATTAAAAAGATGCATTAAATACTACCAGAGCTTAGTGTACGGAAAGGAAATAGAAGAGTTAAGAATTAAGGAAAGAGTAAATAAAAGAAGTTCGTTGATCACCCTTACACCATTCTTAGATAAGAGTGGTTTGATAAGAGTAGGAGGACGGCTTCGGAATGCTTCAATTCTAGATGCAACAAAAAACCCTATTATCATACCCCAGAATCAGCATTTAACAAGATTAATAGTACAAGAAGCACATACCAAGACATTGCATGGTGGCATTCAACTAATGATGGCATATATCAGAACAAAATATTGGGTTATTGGACTAAAATCTGCCGTCAAATGTTGCATTCGTAATTGCAAGACATGTGTTATCGACAAGGCACGAATTAAACACCAGCTTATGGGCCAGCTGCCAGCTGTTAGAGTCAACCCACATAGGGCGTTTACAAACAGTGGAGTAGATTATGCTGGACCTAAACTAATGAGAGCATCTAAGGGTCGCGGTCATCATACAACAAAGGGGTACATTTGCTTGTTTGTATGTATGAGTACTCGCGCGATTCATCTCGAGGCTGTCACTGATCTAACTTCCCAAGCATTCATTGCTGCATTTCGTAGGTTTGTCGCACGCAGAGGCTATTGTTCCCACCTATGGAGTGACAATTGGACGAACTTTGTCGGAGCAGCTAAGGAATTAAAGTTTCTGTTCAAAGGGGGCAAGAATAGTGTCACTCAAGAAGTAGCAGCAGTATTGGCAAATGAGGGAACAACCTGGCATTTCATACCTCCAAAAATGCCAAATTGTGGAGGTTTATGGGAGGCTGGAGTACAGTCAGCAAAAAGACACCTTAACCGAGTCATTAAGGATACCAAGCTAACATACGAAGAGATGGTTACCTTTTTAGCTCAAATAGAGGCTTGCCTCAATTCTCGTCCTCTTTGCCAAATTGATAATACTACAGAAACTCCTTTAACACCAGGCCATTTCTTAGTTGGAGAATCTTTGATCGGTGTGCCAGATTTAAATTATGAATATCAGAAAATCAGCCTTTTGAGTAGATGGCAAGTCATTCAAAAAATGACACAAGACTTTTGGCGTCGGTGGCAGTGCGAGTATCTCAATACCTTGCAGCAGAGACATAAATGGCAAGTGGCAGTTCCGTCGCCAAGCATTGGAGACTTGATAATCATCAAGGATGAACTGACACCCCCGACACAATGGATTCTCGGTAGAATTAAAGATCTTCATCCTGGTGCAGATAATTTAGTGCGAGTAGTAACAGTAAGGTGCAAGGGTAATAATGAACTAAAAAGACCATTGTCAAAATTAATAATACTTCCAAAGGATGTTGAGCAAAATTAAGTAAATTCCATCATAGTTTATTATTATTCCATAATAGTAAGTTCCCTAATATTATGAGTGATTACCGTTGCATATGTTTTACTTTAAAGAATTATTATTTGTTATTGAATATTTTTTTGTAATAAGGATTTAAGTTGCAGAAAACGTTTGTAATTGAAAGTTCTTTGATACTAATGTAATTAATTTTGAGCTAGTATATAACTTTTGTTACTTACTAAAGGTACCTAGCATATACTTGTCATGCTTGACACTTATAATCATAGTATTATTTCCAATATCTATGTCTATACTAAGGTAAATTATTTTTGCACGTTTTTTGGGTTTACAATTAAAAACTATTGTTTTTGGCGGGCGGTATGTCCGATACGTATTGTCTCATCATTTGCTATGCAAGTTTTAGTCTTAATAAAATCATTATAGAGGAAACACGTGTTAACAATTCGCAATCACCTGATAAAGAATTCTCAACCTTATGTCGAAGACAATAATATTAATAAAACCTTTTTTTTTTTTAATGGTGGGAAATGCATTACGCATACCCCGTGCTTTGGGGTGCACGGGGTTATGTCGGACTCTCCGCAGCTCCTGGGAACAGACAGAATGCCCCCAGAATATGCCGTACCGCGGCCTACCGACTAAAACCCACCGATGCCCCTCACATACGCCTTGGCGCGAGCATGTCCGGCACCGACGCATCTTCATCGTCTTCTGACGATGAGGACACGCCGGGGAGGGACGCGTCGCTGCCGGACAAAGTCATGGGAACTCGCGAGAACACATCCACGACCTCGTCGGCGTCTGCTCGCCTATGGCGAGCCCCACTCACCCCCCAAAAAGGGAGGGCCGGTGATCCCCCGGGGCATCCAGGGGATCAGCGACTGGCGGCAACCGGTGCAATGCAGGGCGGGCCCAGCCCGGGGGCTTCCCGGGCCTGGACCCCGCTGGTTACCGTCAAGAGGAAGTAGGCGGGCGCACGTCCGCCTCCTCCGCCCCAACCTTCGGCGGCGGCAAGGAGCGGCCTCTGGGTCGTCTTCCCGGGCCCTCTCCGCGTCCTCCTTCTGCGCCATAACGTCGACGCAGAATGAGTTCACCGCATCTCACGTTTCCTCCCCCTCCAACATGACGCAGACCACGTTTCGAAGAGAGAGGTCCTCGCCTATGATGGCGGTTAACTCTTGCCGCCGATGGGAGAAGCCTGGGCACACCTCTAAAGTGTGCTGTGCGGTGTCCTCAGCGGCGTCACAATGGTGGCACTCGGGGGTCGGCTCCTTGCCGATGCGATGCAGGTAGAAAGAACCGTGGCCGCTAAGAACCTGGACCAGATGGTAGGAGAGCGAACCGTGGCGCCGATCCGCCCATGTGGTGAGAAAGGCCTGCATGGCCTCCAAGGTCCTGGACAAAGTGCCAGAGACCGAGGCCGAGCCCCTTTGCTCTACGAGCTCCTCGGACCACGTGCGGAATGCCTCAATTTTCGCCTCCTCCAAAGCTGAGGCCCTCTCCCTCGGCGCCAGGCGCCGGTCATTATCCTGTGCGTCTGTTCTGACGCAGTAGGCAGCCGCCAGAACGTGGGCTGAAATTTCCCACGGGGGAGTGCCAGCAATAATGCACGCTGCGGTGTGGGACACCGACCTGTATGCTCTTATGGCTCTCAAGGCCATAGCAGAACTGAGAGCATCTGCCCACACCGGGGCGCCATACAGCGAATATTAATAAAACCTAATTTAAATTACTTTATATTTCTATCACCATTTTCTCTGTGGGTATGGCTTTATGCTTAATTTTTTACTTCTGTGTTTTTATTTTTATATAGTTTAAAATTAATTTACGGCCTCGATTGGATTAAGTATATTTTATTTGAGTTGCATTTGTGAAAACTGTTTAAGGCATATCAACGCTACATCATCTCGTTTTTATCCTTAGTTTTAACATGCTGTTTGTTTTCCATGAATAAATAAATAAATAAAGTGTACTAATTCTAGTTACGTTCTTTGTGACACTGCTGTTCAAGTTTTCATACAAAATTTGACAATGACACTTCGTAATCGCAAACTATTCCAATTCGATAATGGTTCGTGCTAGGAGTATAGGTCGCCACACGTAACTCTAGAGCTGAACAAACCGCGTCAGGGATAGCTGCGCATGTTGGGGGGTACGACTGGAGAGACAATCGCGCCGCCCACGCACCGAGTTTGTCCCCAACACATCATCTCTATTTATACGCGTTCGCAATATGGGTCAACGCTAGAGTTTCGTGCCGCGACTTATACTTCGCTCAATCAACATAAAGGTTTTAGACCAGTCCACGCGCCGATACCTAGCAGTTATCCAGCAATCCACGTGCTGATATCTAGCTAGCAAGTATGCGAATTGCTTAAAAGATAATGCGAGAACGGCCTCCTAACAGTCAGCGCGAATACCACATAGACCGTTCGCTTGCAATGCGCGGTAAACGAGGTCTTCAACTATGGAGCAGTCTTACGACGACGGTCATTTCACTAAAAGAGAGTTGTCTGGTAAACTATGTTGTCAATGTAAAGTATATCTAAAGAGCAATACTTAAAGGCCATATATGAATCGCATTCTTTTTGACGGGTGGGAGCAGAGAAGTGTAAATGGACTATAGTAAACTAAAGTCTGACACCCAGAGCCACTTCCGATTCGCACCCCCCAATTCAAATCAAGGTATAGGTCACTTTGACCTCAGCTCCTGGCTATCGCTCTCTTGACCCTAGGATAAATCTGCTTCTAAGCATGGGCCCCAATATTTCGGATTTTTGTAGGTGGCATATATGTACTGCTGTTCATGGTCAAATATCACTTCTGCGTAAACACATCTCTTATACATCCGAGTCTCACTGCAACTGGTCAAAGTATCTTACAATTCAGAGCCTTTTACCAGTGCTGCACGCAATTTTATTAATAAAACATGCAACTTCAGATCGGTCAGTACATATTGGAACCGAATCGTATCTAATATATAAGATTCTCGTGTCGCGGTGTTTGTGGTTAAACTCCTCCGAAACGGCTTTCCCGATTCTCATGAAATTTTTTGTCATATTGGGTAGGTCTGAGCATCGGAGAACATCTATTTTTCATCCCCCTAAATGTTAAGGGTAATCCACCCCTAAATATTTTATTTTTTTGAAGTTATACTTCTTTAGGCGCGTTATGAAAAAATGATGAGAGTGAAATTTTAAGATGCGCGCGCATCACTGTAACACAAAAAATTAACGCTAAAGCGACCAACTTCATGCGTTACTTTTGTGTTTACCGCTCATTAAGAAAATCTACCAACAAAATAGAAATAGAATCTCTATTTAGTGGGTGCTAACGACTGCATTGTGAAGGCCTATCAAAAGTATTTATTAATCTGGAACAACGGAACCAAAACGCGATTCAGGAGACTACAGCGCCATCCCTTGACCATTGGTGTAGTAGAACCAAAATACCACATCTTTATTTTTTGAAGTTATACTTCTTTAGGCGCGTTATGAAAAAATGATGAGAGTGAAATTTTAAGATGCGCGCGCATCACTGTAACACAAAATTTTAACAGCATGAAGTTGGTCGTGCGACCAACTTCATGCGTTACTTTTGTGTTTACCGCACATTAAGAAAATCTACCAACAAAATAGAAATAGAATCTCTATTTAGTGGGTGTTAACGACTGCATTGTGAAGGCCTATCAAAATTATTTATTAATCTGGAACAACGCAACCAAAGCGCGATTCAGGAGACTACAGCGCCATCTCTTGACCATTGGTGTAGTAGAACCAAAAACCACATCTTTATTTTTTGTAATAAAGTAACAGTTATAGGTATTCATATTAATAATATTTATCCACATGTTTCTAGTTTGTATATTCGGAATACATGTTTGAGTTTCATACAAGTGCAAATCACATATGTTCTAATAAATTATATTCAGTAGCGATTTTAATTGAATATTTTGATTATTTATTTATTTTTTCAAATTAAAACTGAACTTTATTGACTGTGTCCTTTTCCAGACTTTTTATTAATTTATTGTAATTAATTATTTGCATGCAATTAAAAACTAATTTTAAACGATGCCAAAGAAGGATAACTTCTCACGCGCCTACATAAGTACACGCACCCATTTTTTTTTTATTTTTTAATGATATAGCATTAGTACATACATACAACCCTGAAGTTTCACTTTTCTACCACCAACCCCTATTTTTTTTATGGCGGTACGAAGTTCGCTGGGTCAGCTAGTAATACTATAAGAATTGAAACGAGGGACCTTTATTGCAGGTGACGCTTCCCTATCGGCGGGCTCGCATCAAGCGAGCGAGGCGGCGCGAGCGTCATCGCTGGCCGCGCTCGCCGGGTCCCTGGGCGGCGGCCAGACCGGCTCCATAGGCGGCGGGCAGGGCGGCTCTCTGGGCGGCGGGCAGGAGGCGCCGCTGCGACTGGAAGTGAGTGCAGAAGTCTGCGACACCGCCAGCGCCGCCAGCTGGCCCGACGACGCGCCCTCCACCTCTGCGCGCGCCAAGCTGCGAGCGCTCTTCTTATACGGCGCCGCCCCTCCCCCGACCCCGCCTCCGGACCCCGAGGCCGGCGTCGCGCCGCCGCCGGACCATCCCGCGCCGAGCCCGAGCCCCGCCCCCGCCCCCGCCCCCGCGACCCTCGAGATAAGAGACGATTCGTAACACCCCGCCCCCCGCAGCGGAGCCCGCCCCTCGTCACGTCCATCGAACTCCCCCCGGAGCGTTGCGCGGACGCCGAAGCCGCGCCGCGGTCGCGACCGCTCCGATGGATGCTTCGCGATCGCAGTGCAGTGTTACTCTATCCGTAATTTGTGATACTTTGAATAATAATTACTATTAATGATGATCTAAATTATTTAATTTTTCACGTTTTGTAGGCGAAAAGTGACGTAACGTTAAGCGATAATTATTGCGTTATGTGAATTATTATATAATGTGTAAACTTATGATTAAAATGTGATTAAACCTATGTTTTCTTTTTTATTTAGTGTTCCTTCTGTTATGTTATTATATAAAGGCTCTCGACTAGACTTGCAACGAATAGTATATTCGGCAGTATACCGAATGCCGAATATTCGGCGAGGCCCCTGACCGAATATTAGGCAAAAGTATTCGGCTGATTTTAGCGCCAAAAACTTGTACAGACGTGATTATTTCGCACTCCTTTGTTTTGTTCTAATCTGCCGTCCTCCAATGATGACAAAACCAACTTTTAAGATATGGTATTTTTGCCATATCGCGCCGTTTTCGGCGCGTAAACTTTAAATTATTGCTATTATGTAACCATTCATCACTTGACTGAATGAATTAAAACTGTTAACTTGTTAAATACAGAAAATGATTAAATTATGTACAAATGACTACTTAATATATAGTCCAGTCATTATATACATTTAAAAGTGAAAATGAACCGAGAAAGCCAAATTTTGGATATCACGTGGGGGGTGGCTAGAAAAGCTTAAGTTCAAATTGTCGGCCAAAATAACCTTGTGCAATTTCCACCATCTTGAAAAAACCCTTAAATTCAGTTTTTTCATCATAACTCGATTCCCCGTTGAGATACGAAATTTTTTATAGAATACTTTTTTGTTGCTCTTCTCGCGATCTACAATTAAGGTCCCATGCATTTTTCACGTATCGATCGTCGTTTTCGAGATATCGATCAAAAATTTGGGGAGAATTTTTTTTTCGCTATTTACTTTTTTCTGGTGAAAGATATCGAAAAATGTTTAAAATAAAACTCGTAGAGCGTGTCCAGACCTACAAATTCGTTTATTTTTCATTTCCGACAAAAATTACGACCTCTAGCGCGCCACAAAGTCAGTGAAACTGTGCCCGGCTCGCTCGGTTGTATCCACGCGTCAAAATGGATGGAAAATGGTTCAGGGAATTATTGCAATACAAAAAAAAATCATAAACCAGCCAAATTAGAAATCAAATACATGAAATTTATTGATGAAATAATTTAGACGAAAAAAATAAAATAGTAAAATAATTAATAATAATGAAATAATTTAATTTTTTTTAGACGCGTCGGGCGCGCTGGGGCCGACTTTGTGGCGCGCTGGACGTCGTAATTTTTGTCAGAAATGAAAAATAAAAAAACGAATTTGTAGGTCTGGACACGCTCTACAAGTTTTATTTCAAACATTTTTCGATATTTCACCAGAAAAAAGTAAATAGCGAAAAAAAAAATTCTCCCCAAATTTTTGATCGATATCTCGAAAACGACGATCGATACGTGAAAAATGCATGGGACCTTAATTGTAGATCGCGAGAAGAGCAACAAAAAAGTATTCTATAAAAATTTTCGTATCTCAACGGCGAACCGAGTTTTTTTTTCATCATAATGAAAAAACTGAATTTAAGGGTTTTTTCAAGATGGCGGAAATTGCACAAGGTTATTTTGGTCGACAATTTGAACTTAAGCTTTTCTTGCCATCCCCCACGTGATATCTAAAATTTGGCTTTCTCGGTTAATTTTTATTTATTTCCCGATTTTTCCGACGTAATGACTGGACTAAAATGATTATAAAAGAAATGAGAACCTTACCCTTTGATTAGGTATAGTCCAGGCAACGAAAAGGTATAGAGGGAATTGCTTAGAACACAATTTTTGACTTCGTGACTTTGTTAGGACTAGTTAGGAGGTAAACATATCAAAAGTCCCCGCCCGTAGCCCTTAAGCCGGGGGGAGGGGGGGGGCTTGAAGGTCCCATTTTTAGGTTTTTCGCATATATCTCGAAAACTATGCATCCTAGCGACATGAGACTTTCACAAAAGTGAAAGCTGATTAAATTTGCTACAAGTCTTATTCAGTCAAATTTTTTGATATCTTGTATAGTTTTCGAGATATCCGCTCTTGAAAGTCTGTAATTATGGAAAAAAAATTTGTTCCCATTTTTGCTCTATTTGACCGGATAACTCTTCAACAATGCACCCAAAAAATAAATGCCGGCCGTAGGGTTGTAGAGCATTAAATTATCTTCAATAATAGAAACAATTGCCTTTTTTTTTTATTTAAGGACAAAATTGTTAGTGTAGTAGACGTATGGGGGCGGTACGGTGGGCACTAGGCCGCGTACTCAGCCCCCACGCGCGGGCCGTCCTGCGCACGTCTGTGGGGTCCTCGCGATACCCCGGGAGACCCCTGCCGCGGAACCTCGGCAAGGCCGGGAGGCTGCTAGGTGCGGAGACGCGGAAGAATCCCTAAACGGGGATTCCGCGGCTTCGCACTAAGCAGCTTAGAGGGTGTTCGCAGGGTTTTTTAGCGGATATTATGCCGTAAAGCGCCCGTAAGGGATACGGGGTCCTCAGTGGGCAGCCACTGCTGGGGCTCGTAAGGCTTGCGGGAGCCAGGTGTGAGGTCCGTTCGGCGGTGTGCCTCTTAAAGGCGCCGTCGTCTGTAAATAGTATTTTTTGCCTGCGTATAAAAAAAAAGGGTAGTAGACGTATTGACTAAAGGGGGTGTCCTGCGTTCCTGTTCCCCAGCGTGCCAAAATTGCAAAAGCAATTCAGAAGATGATTATGTACCCGTGTTATGTACCAATGACTACTTAAATGATTATATAAAAGAAACGAAAATATGAATATATACGTAATCAATCGATTTTAATTTTTCATTTTACTAATTATTTCTCTATGACAAAATATATTATTTAAGTATTCGGTATTCGACCGAATATAATAAAAGCAGCCGAATATGCCGAATACCGAATAGTAACCGAATATTCGTTGCAAGTCTACTCTCAACCTGATAGGTAGCAAGTTAATTATTTTCTAGTGAAATAAAAGCAAGAATTACTAACACACCCCCCTGTTAGGCGCTGGAACCTACAAGCGAGCTTTAAGTTGCTGTTCCGATCCCGGCTGCAAGCTGCAAATGCCGGCAGCACATGCAGCGGATGCAGTTTATTATATTCTTACAATATGTATTTGTATGAAATACATTTGGTTTCATTGATATATGAGAGGATAATAAATAAATGAATACTGCAAAAACATTACAATATATTTATAATTAATTTCATATTTGAAGCCATGATTTATTTCATTTGTTTATAAATATTAAATTAATCTTACATAAAATCCTAATGAAATACATTTCCTTTGGAATGTCATAGACAAGATACCGCCATTATAATTACTATTATTTTCATAGAATTTCATAATATCTGAATAATGAAAGATAATATACATAATATTGTCACTTCAAACATGCACGGAATAGAAGAAAAGCATTTGGTTTATAATATTATAATTAGGTACTTACAAAGTATTTCAAATAATACGGCAGAAAGTATAAAAAATAATGTGGGTATTCATTGATTTATACAAGAATATCTCGAAGCCTATTCTATCTTTATTTTAATTTATCAAATAGATTTTCCCTATTATCCAATTAGCCTTTCTATAGCAGTGGCAAAGAAAGCTCTATTTATAGCTACCATAAGCAAATACTATTGAATTATCTTTAAATATCATCAGTATATATTAAAATATTTTTATTTAGTATACAGCTTTCATTGAATGTCAGTACTACTGTTCGAATTGTGTATAACATAGATAAGTTGCCGTTTGAAAACATTACATTACTAGCAAAAAATATAACGATTTCATATTTTTTTATTTTTAATGTTATCATTTTATTTTGGATATAAATAAACGATACAAAAGCGAATTTACATGCTTTCCCAAATGGCTTTATTTTCACTGCATTTTTTAAATATTTGAACTTATCACAAATTGTAGTCGTTATGGCATACTACATGAACCTATTTACATTCAAACAACTAATAAACGCAGTATCATATTCCATAAAACTTAATAATATATACACATTTTTTCAATTTTCACAGATTTATAATTATAGACACTGTATTGTACACAGATAAGAACCCTGTCTCATTAAATTATATATATTATAATTCTGAACTACAGAGATGTTCAACTAAAAAAATATATTTTAACAATTTTTGTTATTCTTATTATACCTGGCGTGCATCTCTTCTATTCTATTTTTATATTCTATTCTTCAAACTATTAACAGTATTCAAGGGGAACTATAAAGCATCTATTAATCCACTTTTATCTGCAAGCCATGAATAGATTAGTTGTACCAACTAAATAAGTTATATAATCGTTATGATGGAGGGGAATAACTTGCTATATAGGCTTTAGATAACAACCGTTAGACAATAGTTTTATACAAAGACAAATTTATTTTATACAGTTTTTATAGTAAGAAGCATAATATGAATCTGAAGTTTCATTTAAATTACAATACACACGGAAATTTCCATAATTTTATTAGTGAAGAGTAGGCCTTCTAATCATTATTGAAAAATAGTTCATATACATTATGTTCTAAATTTATTTTTTACATTATTTCACTTACATACATATTGTACTTAGCACCATAAAAAATAAAAGCATCCTATTAGAAAATGGTAACCATAAATCATAAAATTATTATTACAAAAAAAACGGAAATTGTCTCAAAATATTGTTAATCTTATCAAAGTTCAAAATCGGTCGGTGAACATTTGACAGCTTTGGATAACTTGATGTGTATAACAGTAGCGGGACTATGAACCAAAGTTAAACGTAGTTTAAACCTTTGCCCATGCGTGGGCCATCGCTCATACCAATTGAATAAACAATATGAAGTTGACCTGAATTAAGTACCTACTTGACGACACAACACTTTCCTATGTTGCTGATCGGACTTTCGATATTTGATTGCATAAAGATTTAAATTTATGTCAAATTATTTGGCACATAGTGTTTTTCCCTCGAAGCTGTAGCAGAATGCAATATAAATAAAACTTATATACATATACTAGCAAACCAGGCGAACTCCGTTTCACCATCAGATGGCTTCGTTTTATGTAACATTTCGTTTGGTAATTAAAAGAAGATTTTGAAATGTTTCCTGAATTTTCTTTGCTATAAACCCCACGGAGCCCGAGACCTTTCCAACGAATGCAAAACCGTGGAAATCGGTTCGTGCGTTCTGGAGTTATAGCGTCAGGAAGGAAAACCCGACTTATTTTTATATAGTAGATAGGTCTTATATAATTATATTATATATCTATAGGAAATAAAATGTTTAATTAATATACATATTGAGCATAAATCAAAACAAATACTAAGCAGAGAGCTAATATTTTCTGTATCACATAATTTTAGTAGTGTAGTAGTATGTTAAAATTAGATTTTTTTATACATAGATGTACCTAGCACATTTTAAAATGGTCAATGAGAGTACTTTATACATACAATATGATTGAACCATAAATATTGAATCATATTGCGAATGCATGTTAAATTACGATTTTATAAGAAAAAGAGAACATTGTTGTGCTGTAAATTTTAACCAGCATATAGTTACTATGAGTATACATATTACATTCATGAATTATCGTACTGTAACAACGATATTAAATACTCAGATATACCACGTGCGCTCAAAATGTGTCCGTATCAAGAAGTGCTTGAACACGACTCAAGCACTTCTTGGTTCACAGTCACACGCGGATCGTTGAAAACTCAACATGCCGTTGAGCTCCGTGAAAAAATGCGAAATTAATACTTATAGTATGTAAAATGTCGTTTTTTCGACAGATATCTCATCAATGTTTGTTTTTTTAACGCATTTGAAGCAAATTTTGTTTTAATATTTACTATAAACTGGTTTAATAGAAAATATTAGTGATATTCAAATGCATGTTTGAAAATAAAACCTTCTCTTTCCTCGCGGTCCGTACCTGCTGTATTGCTAACAGCGCATTCAGAATTACGCGTAGAGTCAAATAAGGTCTATATTCTTCCGCATATAGCAATAAATCGTAAAATTTTACAAGCTTACATCTCGGACTGTCATAACCCTTTGGCGCATGCGCTTTGATTAAGATCTTATATAGTGTGCTTTAAAGGTGATTTTCAATGTTTAAATAACGACTTATATTGTTTAGACTATGCGATTATCTTACGGAGCTCCGTCACGGGCTCCGTGGATCGCCCAATGTACTTTTTGGACAGGTTTCGGGCATGATTTTGTTCGTGTTGGTGTATCTAGAGTATTTAATATCGTTGTACTGTAAATATTAATTATCTTATTTATTGTTATATTAATTAATGGACATGTACTACATTAATGCAATAAATTATTTGAAATTGGCACACCTACTCTTCAAAATTGTAGTTGCGAAATGTAAGAGCAGGTTTCACATGAAATATACATAATGATGTCATTATAATGGATAATTATTTAAAAACATCATACTGAACAAATTTGTACAGGTGCTTTTCTTAAACACATTTAAATGCACGGAAACGAGACCAATTAACTTAATGGAACCTTTTCTCTATTGAGAAAGATTGTACTTTGGGTGCTGGGCATTTAAGTTAAAAAATATAAGTTTGACACCCTTTGGTTTCATTTTAGGAATAAAATGGCGTCATTTTTAAAATAAACAAAACTCAATAACTCAAAAGCCCACGAAAATTTATGTGTATAGTAAAATATCAGTAACTTCATCAAAATAAAGATTGAATGAATGCCGGTTTCAATTTTCTTTTGTAGCTATAGAGCTTACAAGACGGAGAACGGACTGACTCCTTACATGTTCACCACTAATGGACGAAGTATCGACGCAAATTTCACAATTATGACACTCAATACCGCAATGCTCATTTCACATTTCCATTGGCAGCAGCATAGACCGAGATCCACAAGGCTTATGGCGCATTTACATTTGGCCGTTAGCCCGTATGACGGGTGCACGAAGGACATTACTCGTATTCGGGCACCTGATGCAGTATTTACATTGTTTTTACTTGAACACGGACTGAAAAACGGCGTCGGGAAACCAAAACGAAAACCCCGAATACGGGAGTACTCGACTCCGTACATTTTTAGTCGTTTGTCCGACTTCCATGGATTATTCCATAGAATATATGTAGTATTCGGGCTAACGACCAAGTGTAATTGCGCTATTGGATAAGTGGCATCCTTTCTGATCAATTTAACGATAAAGCTATTTAATGTCAAAAATAGGGTATTAAGCTGAAGATGTAATCATTATAAGCTTTACGCTGTTCAGTAGGTCACTATAGTTTATTTGTTTTTTACAACTTCGAAGTTAGCTTTGAATCTAATGGAAAGACGTCTAGTTGTGTTTGGTTTATGATGGCGATTTCACAAGCTTGTCAGGGGGCGTCCATAAATTACGTGAGGTGTTTTTTTTGGATTTTCTGTCCCTCCCTCCCCCCCTGGTGAGATGTCGTGAGATTTTATTCAACCCCATCCCCCAATCTCACGTGAGATTTTTCAAAATGTGGGTTTCTTTCGTAAACGCGTTGGATTGTTATTGTAAAAAGAAAAAAAAAATGCTTCGTGCTTTTATTTACGACTAGTTAAGACTAGTAATCAATATTGCTGAGAGTTATAAGTGTAATAAAAATTTAACAATAGAATACTTAATAGATACTACTGTGAAAAAAAAATGCGTGATATTTGCCGAGACCCCCCCTCTCTCCAACGTAAGATTAGATGAGATTCGACTCGACCTCCTCCTCCCCTTAAACATCTCACGTAATTTATGGACGCCCCTCAGTAGAGCCGGAAGGCATATGCGGTCGATCCATGTAGCACAGCGGGCAAGGAGATATCCTCGCGGTCCAGCTGTGGTCCCAGGATGGTGGTTAGTAGAGCTGGAAGGCGTATGTGGTGGATCCGTCTCGCCAGGTCGGCTCGTCGGCGACCTTGGCTCGGCAGAGAGGGCAGGTGTGCTCTCGGTCCAGCCACGCGGAGATGCACAGCTCGCAGAATATGTGGCTGCAGCCGAGCCTCACCGGCGTCGAGTACTCGTCGTGGCAGATGGGGCACGACTCGCCCGCAGACACTAGCTGCTCGCCGGTCGGTTTGGTGCCCAGATTCTGACACCGACATTCACATTGAACATGTTTTCGAGAGAAATCTTGTCAATATTATGTTTTGACGACCTCCGTGGTCGAGTGGTTTGTACGACTCGAGAGGTCCCGGGTTCGAATCCCGGTGGGGGCAGATGTTTGTGTGATGAATACGAGCATTTGTACTCCAGTTATGGATGTTTAATATGTATTTATGTAAAAATATACTTATATATGTACGGTATATGTATTCTATCCGTTACCCTAGTATCCCATAACACAAGCCTTATAGTGCTTACTTTGTGGCTAGGCTAAGTGAGCGTTGGAAATATTTATTTATTTATTTTGAATTTTCGTGGTCACCAGACCCGTCTTTCCCAGTGGGCACTTTGGGCAAGTGCCCAGGGCCCCGCGATCGATAGGGCCCCCCTCAGATCAAATACAAAGTCCTTAGTTCCTGTTAAATCACCAAACGGAAGTCATAGGGGCCCCATTATTCTAATACACCCAGAGCCTCCAATAGGTCAAAGACGGCGCTGGTGGTCACTAACACTGGTAGTAATTTATGTTATTAAGTGAAGTAAGGGAAGCGCGCAATGTTTTTTTCCATACAAACTATCTGGACCGATTATTCCTTGCTTTTAATCATTAAATAATTGATTTCCATACATAAAATATAATTTTACTGATTCTATGCTCCTATCCCTTCCTTTTTTCGATAACTTGTGTTTCAAAGAAACTAGAAGCCCTCGAAAAAGGCCAAAAATAAACAATTTTTTATCACAACTAAAGAAGTTTACAGTGGAGATTTAATAAGCATTTACAAAAATCAAAACATAGACGCATAGTATAACTACACGCATAGTATCTATAACTACTTATTAATCTTTGTGTAAAACTTCTTCTACATATCTATTTTTCGAGGAGGAAATCGTCGAGAGCTAAACCTCGAATTATGCAATTTTTATACGCAATTTTCAGCGTTAACTACTGTTGTCCCTATCGTACGGTATTTACCAATGCGTGACAGCAATAGTATTTTCAAATACCTATTTCTTAACTCGCGTCCACTTTTAACGGGATTGCTACAGTACGCGCCACGAAAGATGAGAATTGACGAGCGTCGTGCCGCGCCTCCCGCTACCCCCCTGGCGCCCGGTCCCTGCCCCCTCTCAGACCTCATACCGCTAAAGAGACCTTTAAATCGTCTGCTACGCCTGACAAATCACCATCTTTTGTGGCGTGTATTGTATTGTGTACCATGTACCCTGTTTATCACGAGTCCCTAATATTTCGGCACCATTGGCAAGTGTTGCCAGTTACTCTGTGATGATGACCCTTACAACAGTGCCGAAATATCGGGGACTCGTAAAAAACAAGGTACAGCAAGCCCATTAATAACATAAATTACTATATAAATCTTGAGACGTTCTAGACTGATTCTCGAACTATAACTCTATGCTTAAGCAGTGTCAGATAATCTCTTTGCCATTATATGAAATGAAAAGCGTCGCGGAAAGAGTAAAAGAGCACAATGAAGCTTCGTTCAAATTGAGGTGGTGAATAACTCGCGAGACGCGGAACGAAAAGACGATTTCCGAGAGCAAATTTGAGACGATTGAACTCTTTCCGACAACTTTTTCTATGCTGAAGAAGATTTTATTGTCACATTTATGCTAATATATCTTGAACTTTTTACCAAATATTATGAAAAGGGTCGTGAAAGAGTAAAAGTGCAGAAAAGTTGAGACAACTAGATACCCCGCGAGACGCTAATGGGACTCTGTTCTCGCCACCGATTGCGTCAGCTAATTGTATGGAACTGATCTCTAACCTAAAAACTACTCTTAAATCTCTTTAGTGGTTCCCATAATATATTATTAATCAAAATGCCATAGAACATTCAATTAATTTATACAAATATTTTACACTAAGTTAGTATGACTAAACCCCTAGTAATGACTATATCGCAACATTATCAAGTCAAATAAAGATCTAGGGTGTATTCCGAAATATACATCAGTATACTGGCCAGTGGTAATGACGTCACGAATCTGACGCCATATTGTACTGGTATGCTACCATATTTTTACCGGGAAAACGGATATGACGTATGACCGAGCGTGCTTGAGATGCATTCTAATTTTATTTCTTTTTTATTTAAAGAACAATAATGGCATCGGAACAAAAAGAATTCCTTTTAATTGATGTGATGAATAAAAAATCTTCTTTATTCGCACTATTTAAAATATTTCGTCGATTTATGACGTCAGTGCACTGGCCAATATATTTCGGAACAATTCACCAGTAAAGCGTGGATTCATGACGTCATTAGCACTGGCCAGTATACTGGTCTATATTGTGGAATATACCCGTAGTCATTTTGCGATCATAGGGTACGGCCAGAGTGCATTCAGATTCAGATTCAGACTCGGAAAACAAGCGCGAGAAATAAACAGTGTAGTATAAGCAGGGTGGCCACCCTGGCATGGCCATAGTGGCAGCAGGCAACCTGCATTCTGAACCTGCGTGCACTGTGGAAGTACCCTTAGGCATTATGTGATGTAGTTAATTAAAGATCTAGACGAAATGATTTGTAGTCATTTTGCGATATAGCCAATAATAGGGGTTAGTCCCACTGCGACTAGACAATCTGAGATCGACCCATATTTTTTCCTTATTTTTCTCTAACCTTGAAATTCCAGCTTCGATATCAATACATCTTTATCTAGTACAAAACCAAAAATAATAACGTACAAATTCGCATCGGAGGCTAAGCAAGCAAATCTCGGTAATTCGCGTGATGCGACTATTGCGGGGTTTATCTTAATCAGTATGCAACTTCAAGCCATTACATTCAGGACCTAAAATAATGAATTTTAGAAAATCTCATGTATCTGCTTACGGTACCTTAAGCTTTGATCATCTGTACCTCAAATTAGTAATCAATTTGCAATTATCTGGATGTTTCCAGACTTTAGCTTTACTACATGCCAATGTGGAGTTGTGGCATTTATACAGAAATATAATTATTTGAAAGGAAGTAGAGTTTTCACTTACCACACTCTGCAACAGAGTCCAAGTAGCGTTCTTGAACAATCTTAATCTCACTAATATTTCAATAATTTTGGCTATGATATAGACAGAAGTCAGGAGCATGCCCACCATCTTCTCAGACCCCTCATATGACTGCATCAGGAAGAATATCCATGGCTGGATGGTGAGCAAAGAACGATAAAGCTGTGATACTGCTTCCGTGAACAAATACACTTTTCCCTGAAAAATGTAATAATGATGAGTTATAAAATTCTTACTTGAATTTGGTTTATGTTTAGGCTACTATAGGATCAATTGTTAAAGCCATTGTTTAATTGTTAATCCTTGAAACATTGTAAGATGCAATACAATGTCTTCTGTTGACATACTGAAAAGATAACTCTGTATAGAAAATGAGGTCACTTTAAGGTTTAGTCATAAATTATTTTCTTGATGTATAAAAGAATAATCTTATTTATATTAATTAAATGATAAATAATTTACCCTCTTTTGGAAAGGCAGCAAGAACGCAGGCATCATTGTAACCACTATCTTGATATCTACAGTAATGATCTTCACTATTAAGTCGGTGAGTACTACCAGCCACAACAGCTCCCATACATCAATGGGGTCAGTGTAGGTGGGGAACATCACAACATTGGACAAGAGTTTCTCATGCCCAAATAGGAAGTGCACAATGCCAATGCAGCTAACAGTGAACACTAATTCACTGAACAATGCCACAGCGCTCCGATTCATTTGTTTGCCATGTTCTCTGAAAAACATGATTACTAAATATATATAATGCACACAAGGGCTTAGTTTCATAAACAAAGTTAATGAAAGAGAGGATTCTTTTGCTGTCTTGGTTCTGTCCTCTACCTATTACAAATTCCAAGAATGCTATGCTAAGGCAGTTGCTCTAGCAGCTGAAATATTGATATTTAATTTTGAAAGTATTGTTTAAATTTTTAAAAACATTAATCATAATTATTCATAATATAGCAATGGTCATAGCTGATAAATAATTGTATGATTTAATTTCTAAAACACTTGTGCAATATAATTTTGGATAAATATTTAACTTATTTAAAGTATAAATGGATGGATCCAGTTACTTATTACTTACCTTCTCACAAGACTATTACTATGTGAAAACGTAGAAAACAATATAATGAAGGTAAAGAGGCCTTCTCTGCTATCGTACATAAACTTGATAAATAGCAGGAAATAAAATGGAGCATAGCATATCAATAAGTTTAGGGTAGCTCTTACATCCACGACCTGGAAAAAGATATTATATGATAAACGGACTCTGATAAAGAAAGATATATATGAAATTTGGAAAACAGTGATAAAGTCATCACACCTGTTGAGTCCCATCATCACTTTGACTTTCATTATCTGCATTGTCGTGTATATTGTTGTTATTTGCAGGATTTACAGATACATTGATCTCTGGGTGATCTTGCCCGTGGTCAGACAGATTGGAATCATTGGAAGGGCTGTGACTCAAGCCATGAGTTGCAGACTGAGCTCGCTGTGTAGGTGGAGTGCTTCGCTCTGTGACTACATAGGTCTGAGCATTGGGTCCTAAGTTAACATGTGCTATGGAGCTCTGAGGCCTTTGTAAGTTAGTTTCTCCTCCAATCTGATGAGTGCCTGGCGTATTTCTTGGCAACCATGTTGGCAGTGATAATCTAGCATTATTTCCCTGCCAAGAACCAAAAAAAAACTTTAAAATCGACAATATAAAGATTAATTAAAGAAGAAAAGTTGTAAATATTGCGTAATATGTTCTTATCCTAATACAAAGGTTGAAAACAAACGAAATCGACTAGAATACCTACATGTTCTTTATGGGTATTTTTGACTAGGATAGTTCATATCTTACCATGCGAGCATGCTCGACTAGAGGCCTTATTTCTCTGAAAACACTATTGAGCCGGTCACCAAGGCCTAAGTTATTTCTATTCTGAGGCACTGGTCTTGAAACAGAGTCCAGTCTGTGTAATGCATTATTTCGTGGGGTCCCTTCAACCGGGCCCTCCTCTTCTATGTCCAGAGTCACTTGATTAGGTTGTGCCATCACTATGTACTAAATTACTACTTAAATAATAAGCTCAAAATAGTTAATAAATTGAGAAAAACACATTTCCAAAATATTTATGAAATACAATACGAACCACCAGTGTTGCCAGTACCTGCGTCGTGTTTCGGACGATTCGGAATCTGAAAAGGGACGATTTTTAGACAAAAAGGACGGGCCTGCAGAAATATATTTATCTTACGTGTTGTGTTGTGACACGATCTGCTTCATACATTTAGTACGGTTAGAACTATATTTTGTGTGTCGCGATGTCTCGACAGCGTTCAGAAATCAATATATCTTTATTCAAATTGGATGTATAGTAGAACTCTTTTGAATCGTCCAAATTTTTTTTCCTACTACTCGTTATTGAACATATTTTTTAGCTGCGGAGAAAAACGAGCAAAAAAAACTCCACAACATTAAAAGTATAATGTAACAACATTTACAAATCATTATGTTGTTACAACGTCAATACAATCATGATTTATTTAATATAGAAAACCTGTTGGAATGATTGGAACAGTTATTTATTTATTATTATTATTTATTTAAACTTTGACAAAAGGCGGACTTAACGCTAAAAGCATTCTCTGCCAGTCAACCTTCAGGAGTACAGAAAGTCACGAATGCGGCTTTAGTAAAAAAATAATTGATAATATAAACATACCATAATAGAAAATACTTATCTTATACATAATAATTAAATATATATAAGCACAAGACATATAAATATACACACACGCAGATATATACACATACAATACACATATACATACGTACATATATATAAAATATATCGATGATGAGACTGAAAGGGACTTAGGAAATGAGTTTAACGTTAGTGTGGAAGGCTATCCAGAAGAAGTGCATGAATTTTCTTTTTAAAAATGAACCTATTAGGTGACTTTCTAATGGAGTCAGGGAGGCTGTTCCAGAGTCGTGAAGATTGAAGAGCAAAGGAATCAGACATATAGCCAGAGTGAAAGAGAGGTTGGGATAGAGCAAGAGTATCAGTAGAACGAAGTTGAAGGTTATGTGTATCACAAAGATACTGAAATTTGGATCTTAGATATTCTGGAGAGTGTGGGTCAAAGAGAATTGAATACAGAGTACATAATATTCTCTGCTGTCTTCTTTGACGTATAGGGAGCCATTTTAGTTGAGACCTGTAAGCAGATATGTGGTCAAATTTACGAAGACAGAAGATGAAGCGAATGGCATTATTTATAAGACGATCCAATTTATTTAAAAGATCAGCATTCAGATCGGGATAACAGACATCAGCATAATCAATGAGCGGAAATATAAGAGATGTTACAAGCAAAATTTTTGTTTTGATGGGGAGAAAATTCCTGAACCGATTCAAGAAACGAAGTGAGTAAACAATCTTGCGGCTCACTTCGGCAATTTGTGTGGTCCAGCTGAGAGAGGAATCAATATAAAGTCCAAGATTTTTTACACTTAAACTAAGCGGCAGTATTGTGCCTTCATACACGACAGGTCGGAGAGAACTTTGGTCAACTTTGACTATTTGTTTAGAGCCACCTACGATAATGGCCTGACATTTAGTTGGATTGACTTTTATTCCAAAGTCAGCAGACCAAGCACTGATACGTTGCAATTCATTATTCAACATGGAGATGGCCATATCAACATCCTCAGCTAAAGTCTGGGTATAGATTTGTAGGTCATCGGCGTAGAAATGGTAAGAGCAGCCAAGCGAGTAGGAAAGGAAATTAATGAAGGCAGAAAACAACAAAGGAGAGATAATACCACCCTGGGGTACACCGGCATTCAAAGTATTCCACTTTGAAAGGTTCAAACCCAATCAGTCAGTTCATACCCAACCATTTTTGTCTGTAATATTATCAGAGACTTTGTAATAAACTTTTATAGTACCTAAGTACTTTTTTATACTATCCTGAATTTATATATGGTTAACTCTTGGATATTGCTTGGGACTTTATTGTATAAGCAATCACAAATACCTATAAAAGAATTATTGATTTTGTGAAGCCTAGTAGTAGGTAAAATTAGTTGTGTGAACATCGCTGTTTTTAAGAAACAAATTATTGGAGTTTACTCCTTAAGAATCGATTCGCATATATAAGAGGCCCGGTATGAGAAAAATGTGAGGAGTAAAATCTATCGATGAATGACCTCGTTAAGTTTTTGGTGCGCATCCTATGTCGTGCAACTTTGACAAACAAAGATGACGGATTGACATTAATAATTTTTTTAAAATCTGAACTGAATTTAGATATTGTTTCTGATAGAGCAATGGGGACAACGAGGTATGGTAGTATGGTACAACCATTGATGCGGTATTTTCAAGATTCGTGAACCACGTAGGTATCCACGAACGTCCATGTGTCTTATTTTAGATACCATAAACCACTTGTTACTGTAATTAATAATGCAGACAATGTTGATTTAATTAACATTTAAAAAAATTATAATAGTCTGATAATAATAATTACATTATTTATCAACATTCCTAATGATATATTTATGCACATCTGTAATTGACTATTGTAAAAAGTTTAATGTAAAATATTTCGTCGATTAGTTATAATAAATGTATATGAAATGATATTGTATATTATTTTCATTAATTTGTTAATTTACCCTTTCATACAGTCGTGCGTCGGAGCTGACACACACATTTTTTTATTAGGTACGATAATGGTAGGTGGGTTTGAGCATTGAGTAGGTATATATTAAACGTAGGCATAGCGAGCGTTGGATTCGATGTAGTTTACTTGGTGATTTGACGAACAAAATTGACAATGTACAACGTATTGTGATTGTAATTTAGTGAAATAAATCAATGATTGAAACGAAATGCATTCGACTAATGTTGCAGTGGAGCGTTATTGAAAATGGACGGAAAAGGGGACGGAATATGTAAAAGGACATCGAAGGGACGCTTTGATGACAAAAGGGACGAAAATCGTCCCTTTTGGGACGTTCTGGCAACGCTGCGAACCACAGATTACTCGAATAGTCCATAGCACAGATTAGGTACTGCCAGTGTTTCCACTTTAATGATTTCCTTTCCCCATGCCTCAGTTTTTTTTAATTTATTGGCAATGGATACATTGTCCTTATGCCTCCCATGCCTCAATTCAGCAGTGTTTCCACTTTAGTGATTTCCTTTCCCCATGCCTCAATTCAGATTTCCCCTTCTTAGGACATTTTTCCCCTCAAAAATTATTCTGCTGTAGTTTTTAGATTTGGCACTAGTGTAGTAACTAAAGAAAAAAAAGGTCTTAATCTATCTTATTCTGTAACAGATAAATAAAATATATAAAATCTGCACGTGTTGACACAGTTTCTTTTATACGGCAATACTCTAGTCCACGGTATAGTCCATAAAAATTTTGTTCCGTGCCGCATTATTTTAGGCTAAGCTTTACCCATAATTTCCCGCAGTTTCCCTTACTTCTTATTTCATATCTTTCCCCTTTTTCTTCCCCTCTGGATCCTAGTTTCCCCTTAAAAGGGGAATTTCCCCTCATTGTGGAAACACTGGGTACTGCCCATAGACTCCATAGAAAGAGAAAAACAATTTATTTTGATTGTTTTGAAATAAACAAAATACTGAAGGCAAAGATTTTTAATCCATACAGCCAATGTTAGAAAATCGTGGTTTTCTTGTCTTCATAATAATATTATTATATTAAGACCATATGGTCTTCTTATAATACCAACCAACATACATAAATAGTTTATCGCACGGCAGTAAAAATAGTCTCGTATGATTACATAATAAAAACAACTTGCTATCAAAATTACAAATAGCAGACACGAATAGGCATCGATTATCCATGTGGTGCTCGGTGGGTTGAGGTAATCCCCACCCCACCTGATGTTAAGTGTAAGTGGAGTCGATGATGCGGCAGAAGGTGTGCCACGCCAGGTATCACTTCGCTGGCCTGAACCCAATCCCCTAACCCTCGGAGCTCTGCCCCCCTAGCATGACTAACAAAACGCGATATGATAAAGCGATTTATCGACACTCAACTGTCAAACTCCATTGTAGTTTGACAGTTAATGTCGATAAATCGCTTTATCATATCGCGTTTTGTTACTCATGCTAGGGGGGCTGGAACCCTATTCACCACCAGCAGAAACGCAACGCCATCAGAAGGTAGAGCTTTATTACTTTAAATACTTTCTGCTGTAAAAAATCACCTGTGCTCTACATTTATTCTTTGAGATTCTCTTTCTTTATGAACAAGATGCTAAGTATTTGCTGTAATGAGTTGTTTTATTTATTTTATTATACCATTTAATTTAGTACTTCCTTTACCGGTCGTGGAAGAAAAGCAACTTGAAATCAACAGTCTCGGGATCCTTCGTGTTTCGAAAGGCGTTGATCCCGGCTGCATTTTGCAGTTGTTAGCACCAACTGATATTGACTGGTCCCCTAAGTTGGGCCTGCGTTGGCGGTCATAGCTTAAAGTCCCTATTCCATCCATAAAGAAGTGTGCCTCAGACCCAACACGCGGGCCCTGTGCGGATTGATGGTGCTAACGATCGCATACGCCAGTCGGGATAGCCGCCAGCATGGGTCAACGTACGCGTACCTTTCGAAGCATGGAGGAGCTCGAGTAAATTTTTGGTCACCCATCTAATGAGCGAAAACTGTGAAAGTTGCCTAATTTCAACGATCGCAGCCGAAAGCGCCAACCACTTGCTCCATCCAGCTCCGCAAATTTCTCTACGTCTAATGCTGACTTATTCAACCATAATTTTATATTCGCCGGTCATTTGATATAGATAACATTTAAGTAATAAGGAAATAGTTATTTATTATACAAGAGTGGAAAGTTCCTTTTTAACCGCGTGCTCGATTTGGATGACCGAGCAAGCGAAGGATTCTAAAGTTGAATCACGAGCGCAGCGAGTGATTCTAAATTAGAATCCTGAGCGTCAGCGAGGGAAACAAACGAGCACAAGCTGAAAAATCTTTCCACTCGAGTGCAATACGTAACTTTTCATCCCACCTCAGCGAGGAAATGACAAAATGAAAAAGAAAACAATTTATAATGACAAAATATTTTTATTTCAATTAAAACACATTAAGATAATCTATAAATTGAAGAAAATAATAAGAAGTAGAAAATAATTAAGAAATATTAAATGTAACGTTGCTACAGTTACTTATGTTAAGTTTAATATTTTTGTTAGGTAATGTTATGTTGGTGTTTGTGAATTGTGCGCTGTTTTGTGGTAAACTACTCGTATCAGTAATTTTAAATAGTTGTGCCGATTCATTGGATTCTATTGGCGTAAATGTTGGCGAGAGAGGGCTATTGTTTCCAATCTTATGGGGGCTCATTTTAGATGTAGAAGGGCGAGACCAAGAATCTGACAGAGGTTCTTTCAGCGTTATGGCCTCCACGATACTATTACAAATTTTTGATTTACTTTGGATTGAATCCTCTATGTATCCCTCTACAACCGAATTAGACTTCCAGCCTCCATGGCGCTTAAGCGATAGAAGATCAGCCCCTGATTCGGCCAAAAGTGTGGCTGAGGTTCTTCTAAAACAGTGACCGGTGTATAACGGGGGTTCTAAAAGTCCGAGAAAAGTTGCTATTTCTCGTGGAATACTGCCAATTTTATTCTGACCCATAGGTTGTCGGATACACTTTCCGTTGCGATATTGTAGAAAAAATCGTTCAATTGGGGTGTTAGAAGGACGTAAAGCTTGATATTTCTGAACAATGTTTACATATTCCTTGCGAATAACGAAGTTGCGGTCTTTTTTTGTCTTGGTATTTAGTACATTAATTAATAGCAATTCATCAGAATTATGAGAATATTTTGATACGTTATTGACATTAAGTAGTGTAAGTTCATTTGTTAGACATGCTCCGGTTATACCAATAATAAGAACAACCTGTAACAAAAGAAGTATTTATAATCGTAAATAAATTAATCAAATTAAAAATATTGTAAGTACTATGTACAATTTTATCAACAACAAAAAATTACACGTATTGACTTACTTTTGCCGCTAAATATACGGAATCAGGTGCTTCATTAATAAACTTTGCAATTTCAGATGCTGTGAAAACCTTCGATTTTTTTGGTTTATAACCAGATGAGGCTCTTTTTAAAAATGCCACTAATTTATGATAGGTGTCGATATGAACGTCTTTCTTCATCTTAATTGTTAATTTTAGCATTGAATACGTACTCCATAGCGTGCTTGCTTTCTTGGTCTCAGATAATTCTATAAAATATGCCAGCAAAACGTTTTCGGAGAAAGTTTTTGCTCCTTTAGCTAGTCGCCACATGTTAAATATATCGTACTGTTTCAAATACTTCTCTCGTGATTGCTGAGGGAGAAGGCTCATTTGCGCATTATTAACTGTTTCAGTTAACTCAGTTGGCGTTAGATAAACTTCATCGTCGCTAATGTCACTCATTTTAGTTGATTTTTTTGTACAGTTTTTAGGTTATGTTAATTATATTAAGCAATAAAACGTGAAAAACTAGAATGGCGCGAAGCACGCAAATAAAACAAAGAAACCAAGAAGGTTCCAAATTTAAATTTTTTCACAATTTAAAAAGTTCTAATCATAAATTTGGCACCATAGAGGTTACATTAAATAGGTTTAATGACGTTTTGAATTTACAATTATATTGAGTACTCATTATATGTGATGTTCTAAATTCAAATCTACTTTGCCGCTCAAGCGAATAAAATAGAATTTTCCAGCCAGATTTCGAAGCGCAAAATTACACTTTCCGAGGTGGTGGGATGAAATAGTTATTTATTATACAAGAGTGGAAAGTTCCTTTTTAACCGCGTGCTCGATTTGGATGACCGAGCAAGCGAAGGATTCTAAAGTTGAATCACGAGCGCAGCGAGTGATTCTAAATTAGAATCCTGAGCGTCAGCGAGGGAAACAAACGAGCACAAGCTGAAAAATCTTTCCACTCGAGTGCAATACGTAACTTTTCATCCCACCTCAGCGAGGAAATGACAAAATGAAAAAGAAAACAATTTATAATGACAAAATATTTTTATTTCAATTAAAACACATTAAGATAATCTATAAATTGAAGAAAATAATAAGAAGTAGAAAATAATTAAGAAATATTAAATGTAACGTTGCTACAGTTACTTATGTTAAGTTTAATATTTTTGTTAGGTAATGTTATGTTGGTGTTTGTGAATTGTGCGCTGTTTTGTGGTAAACTACTCGTATCAGTAATTTTAAATAGTTGTGCCGATTCATTGGATTCTATTGGCGTAAATGTTGGCGAGAGAGGGCTATTGTTTCCAATCTTATGGGGGCTCATTTTAGATGTAGAAGGGCGAGACCAAGAATCTGACAGAGGTTCTTTCAGCGTTATGGCCTCCACGATACTATTACAAATTTTTGATTTACTTTGGATTGAATCCTCTATGTATCCCTCTACAACCGAATTAGACTTCCAGCCTCCATGGCGCTTAAGCGATAGAAGATCAGCCCCTGATTCGGCCAAAAGTGTGGCTGAGGTTCTTCTAAAACAGTGACCGGTGTATAACGGGGGTTCTAAAAGTCCGAGAAAAGTTGCTATTTCTCGTGGAATACTGCCAATTTTATTCTGACCCATAGGTTGTCGGATACACTTTCCGTTGCGATATTGTAGAAAAAATCGTTCAATTGGGGTGTTAGAAGGACGTAAAGCTTGATATTTCTGAACAATGTTTACATATTCCTTGCGAATAACGAAGTTGCGGTCTTTTTTTGTCTTGGTATTTAGTACATTAATTAATAGCAATTCATCAGAATTATGAGAATATTTTGATACGTTATTGACATTAAGTAGTGTAAGTTCATTTGTTCGACATGCTCCGGTTATACCAATAATAAGAACAACCTGTAACAAAAGAAGTATTTATAATCGTAAATAAATTAATCAAATTAAAAATATTGTAAGTACTATGTACAATTTTATCAACAACAAAAAATTACACGTATTGACTTACTTTTGCCGCTAAATATACGGAATCAGGTGCTTCATTAATAAACTTTGCAATTTCAGATGCTGTGAAAACCTTCGATTTTTTTGGTTTATAACCAGATGAGGCTCTTTTTAAAAATGCCACTAATTTATGATAGGTGTCGATATGAACGTCTTTCTTCATCTTAATTGTTAATTTTAGCATTGAATACGTACTCCATAGCGTGCTTGCTTTCTTGGTCTCAGATAATTCTATAAAATATGCCAGCAAAACGTTTTCGGAGAAAGTTTTTGCTCCTTTAGCTAGTCGCCACATGTTAAATATATCGTACTGTTTCAAATACTTCTCTCGTGATTGCTGAGGGAGAAGGCTCATTTGCGCATTATTAACTGTTTCAGTTAACTCAGTTGGCGTTAGATAAACTTCATCGTCGCTAATGTCACTCATTTTAGTTGATTTTTTTGCACAGTTTTTAGGTTATGTTAATTATATTAAGCAATAAAACGTGAAAAACTAGAATGGCGCGAAGCACGCAAATAAAACAAAGAAACCAAGAAGGTTCCAAATTTAAATTTTTTCACAATTTAAAAAGTTCTAATCATAAATTTGGCACCATAGAGGTTACATTAAATAGGTTTAATGACGTTTTGAATTTACAATTATATTGAGTACTCATTATATGTGATGTTCTAAATTCAAATCTACTTTGCCGCTCAAGCGAATAAAATAGAATTTTCCAGCCAGATTTCGAAGCGCAAAATTACACTTTCCGAGGTGGTGGGATGAAAATAAAATTACAACATATTACCATAATATTTATTGATGAAATAATACTTATTTAAATTTGTCAATAGACCGCAATGAACCTCTAGCATTTGATACGATGAGCAATAAATTATCTACTGGCCTACCGAAAGGCAGGCACAAACAACCACACCCGCACATATTTTGAACGTTGTACAAATACCGTAAATTCAGTCTTCGGTTAGGCTGCGCACCGCAAACGATCGGGACGAGCGGCCGTCCCCAACAAGTCCATACTTTGTTATCAAAAGACGACGACAAAAAAAATGCGCTTACAATATCGGGAAATTAATATAACACTACGAATGTAACTGGGCTGCCTTTCGTTACTTTTATGTACGACTAACGATTATTCGCATTATATTATTCGCTGTATCTAGTAAGAGTCATGGCAGCATTAGGTGACATGATCGCCCCGTTTATGCCATATAATCCACACAGCGTCTCTAGCGGTAACTACAGCACCGTTGCCAAAATACGGAGAACGGAGCTTTTATAAATCTATCAAAACTCCTACTAGACGCTCAGGCCCGGCACTTGGCACACGCGAGTGGTACACGAGCCTCATGTCTCGGTATCGGGTTTGAGTGCCAGCACGCCCTGCCCGTGCAGGTCGCGGACTGCCTCGAGCAGCCTCCGTTCAGCGCGCGGCTCGCCTAATGCCACGTCGACGCTGCCGGCGCACAGCAGTAAGGCCCGCAACGCGGCGCGCGGCCAGTCGGGCCGCAGACCCCGTCGCACCGCAGCCCCCGCACCCGCCGCCCCCAACCGCAAGCATTCCGCCTCCAAACGATCCCCGTACTCCTCGATTAACGAATCCCCGACTGCCCTTCTCATCTCCGGCGTCAGCGAAGACAGCAGCAGCAACGCGACGTCGTCCATCGGCCTCCCGAGAGACACCATTTGCCAGTCTAAAGCTATGCATTCGCTTTTCCCTTCCTTCTCTCTGAACAGGAGGTTCCCGCTCCAGAAATCTGCGTGAGCGAGCGGGGCGGGCTCGGCCGGCCTCAGCAGAGTGCCGAGCAGAGAGGGCGCCCTCGCTACTAATGCGGACACCGCCGCCGCCTCCTCGACGCAGTCCGATCGCCCTCGCAGGAATGCCTCCAGTTGCGGCAGTCCCCGTCTCACGAGACGCAGGTATCCCGCTGCGGCTCTCTCGCAGGGAAATAAGAAGTCGAATCTTTGATCGAGCGGCCCTTCTTGCTCTCGGAGGGCCAGGGAGAGGGCGTGCAACCTGGCCGCGGCGTACAGCGCGGATCTCGCTCGTTCTTCGGTCAACCCTTCGGCAAAATCGGCAGATTCGAACCCCTCTGCCGTCACATCTTCTAAAACTAGCTCGCTGTCCCCACCGATTTCGTCTGCAAATAAAGCAAATATTTTTTTAGGATGTTTATGTTTACAACAAAGTATTGTGGTATTTGTAGTTACGTAATTTTTCCAGATTATTGTACATGTTATCCGAATTGTGCACATTTACTTTAGGAAATTAATATGTGGGACACTCAGAAAGTTTTGAGAAACTAAAAAACTAACTTTTATGAAATAAATATTTTTATTAAATCTTTTCAATGAAGTCTGCACCATCCTCTATACAAAGTTTCATGCAGCTGAACCAATTTTCAAATCATTTATTCCAGTCCTCCGCAGACACCTCTTCCACGGCCTTCTCAAACGCTGCTAGCGCTTCTTCCGGCGATGAAAACTGTATCCCTTTGAGCTGATTTTTTATTTTAGGGAATAAAAAGAAGTCACACAGAGCCAAATCAAGATTGTAAGGAGGTTGACCCAAGACTGACTGGTGTGGAGTCCAAGAAGTCCTTCGTTTTGATCGCAGAGTGCGCGGGCGCGTTGTCGTGTTGAAGAAGGACCCCGCGGAGCCCGGTGTTAGGTCACTTGTTGCTCATTGCAGAAAAAACTTCTGGCATGCATTTTGTGCTATACCATTCGACGTTGATGCTGCTTTGTTTTCGAAGTGGAATTGAAATTATGTACCCCGTCAAAGTGAAAAAACAAGCGATCAAAATTTTGCCTGCGCTCTCCTGGATCGCTTCACTTTCGTAGGCGTTGATTCATTTTGAAACAGCCAAACTGTCGACTGACACTTTGTTTCTGGATCGTATTGATAAATCCAGAATTCGTCACCTGACACAATATCTTAAACGCGCCGTGACTAGGGTTACCATATCTCAGGATTTGTCCTGAGATTTCAGGATTTTTGGGCTAATCTCAGGATTGCGACTGGATTTTGCAAATCTCATGAAATCTCAGGATTTTTTGAATTTCCAATAAAATACAGCTTACGTTTTAAACATCTCTTTAATAAAAAGTTAAACAAACTAAAAATAATAATCATCTTTTGGTAATAATTGCACAATTAAAATCAGTACTTTATTATCCAAGTTAATCTTAATTAGTTTTATCATACTTAATATGTGAAGATACATTTTTAGTAAGCTTTTTTTCTTTAATTATGGATTCAGATAATACCCTATATGTTAAGCTCTTCAAATTATATTGAATAAAAAGTATAAGCAGAGTATAAACGATAATATTACGACTTTTTTAAATTGTTAAGTACGTTTGAGAGAAAATTCTCAAACTGTAAAAAATCTCAGGATTTTTCAATGGAAATCAAGCCTTTTCTCCGGACTTTTGATTTTATCATCTGGTAACCCTAGCCGTGACGAGCCTGCATAAAATGTTTTTATCATATCACTGCACCAATCCACACGGGCCTGCTTCTGAGCTTCGGTGAGGTTGTGCGGCACCCGGCGGGAAACTATCCTCTTTATGCAATTGTGCTCGTGCAAAATCATGTGAACACTTCTCGAACCAATCTGTAGAGTATGCTGAATCTCTTCGTACGTAATTCGTCTGTTTTCTTGAATTATTTTTTTTACTGCCAGCACACTATCTTCGGTGACAGCCGTCGTAGGACGACCATTCCTTTGTTCATCCCCCAAAGTAAGATGACCGCGTTTGAACTCGCTACACCAGCGGTAGATGGTTGCTTATGAAGGTCCCTCATCCATAAAAGCAGTTCGAAATCGATTAAATGACTCATCAGGTCTTAATCCACATTTAGAATCGTAAAAAATCATAGCACGAAAATGTTCTCGATGCAGATCCATTATTTGATGAGACAAGAAAAATTTAATTGGCTCTCGAAAAAATGCGGATGGATATTTGAAAATCGAACAGTGGTATTTTTACTTTTAAATGATCGAACTTTTCAAAATAATTACAAGTGGCCAGTATACATAAAAACTTTTTTTCGCAAAACTTTCTGAGTGACCTGGTATAGTAAATTAGTACTTATAAATATAAAAATATAAAGGGTTATAGTTCAGAAGTCGACTATTGATTTGCGCTTGTGAAGAACTCGATGTCTCCCCGAGCGGACTGCAAACCGACTTAACATCAGGTGAAGTGGAGTAATTTGCTGGCCTTTTAATAAATTAGAATAATAACTTTTAATCAAACAAGTTTTAGAAGTTTCAGAATTATGATTTTATTTACTTTGTCGACGCAGCCTGAAAAGGATCGTCAGCAACAAATAAATCAGTGCAACTATACCGTTGAAACTTTGTTTTACATAATGAGTGGTGTGCGAGAAAACATAAGAAACCTAATATTACAAAAAAGTTTTACTAGAAAAAAATCCACGAGGACCAGGCAGCGGACGGGACTCGAACCCGCACCCTTCGCAATCCGGGCGAATGCACTGACCAATTATGCTACCACGGCCCTGATGGCCGTGTCGAAATTTTCCTAGCCTTATGCTGCAAGGCAGCGCCACCTCTTCGCATTGTAGGTAACCCACAATGTCAAATGAATTAAACATTTGAAAGAAGAAATAGCAATTTTAATTATGTTTTAATTTTTTAAGCATTTAACTGCTAGATGTTAAAATCTAAAGAAAAGTTTTACGTTTTAAGGGAGTGACGACGGAACTTTGGTGCTGTCATAATAGTGTGCGAAGTAATTGCGAATAAATGAATACTCAGTCTAAAGTTTGCGTGTTGTGATTGTGTAACTGTAAATAATAGTGCCTCTGAGAATCTGTGTACGTGTGGGCGAGTCGATAAGAGTCTTTTTTCTTGAATTATTGATAAAATAAAATCAGCTGATTCTTACAATTTTTCTTTCGTGAGGGGGTAATTTTGAATAAACTGATTGAAGTTACTAGTCGCGGGATTCTTTTAAGTGTCGAATGTGATAAACATTTTATCCAATTTTACTTCAATAATAAATGCACAAATCTTTTGATAAACATTGTATTAAGCATATAATCAATTTAAAATTTGCGACATCTAGTGGAGAGAGGAGTAAATACCGTGCCGATACACGACATCTCGCGTCGGAATTGGGAAGCGGATCTACGCTAAAAAGCTAGGTTCGACATCTGCAAGAACCATCGTGCTTGTACCGTGTTGATACTCGACATCTCGCGGCGGAATCGGGAAACGGATCGAAAATCACGATTTGACATCTACAAGAACCATCATGCTTCACTGCGCTGCGTGTGGGAGGTTTCTCTCGTCGGGTGGTGCGGCTGCTTGCACGACCTGCCCGAATAAATATCACCGAGCTTGTCTGGCGATGTCGGAGAAGTCACAAATACGCAAGGACTGGGTTTGCCCTGATTGCACACAGAGCGTTAAAAGAGGCGATAACACGCATACGCCTGTTAAAGGCCTATGTAGTCCGCCATCTGCCGTGACGTCGTCCCCTGCAGCGGTGGTCACGAGTGAGCCCTCTGTTGGTGATGGTGACTCTGCTGTTGCCGGCGCCGGTGTGGCTTTTGTAACAGAAAGTGACGATGAATTTCGGCGTTTCTTTATGGAGGCTGTGACGGAGATGCGGGAGTTCCGCCGGGAGATGGCGTTGCTGCGTGATTCCTGGGAAGCTTTTGTGACGAGACTGGATAAAATGGACCAAAGATTCGATGCGGCGGAACGTAAAATCGAGTCAGTGAATGAGAGGCTGGAAGCCCTTGAGCGCCGTGAGCAGGCGGGCGCTCCTGAGTCTGTGCAACAGATCCAGCAACAGTTGGAACATACTGTATCACAGTTGAAGTCGGAGTTGGCGGAGCGTGACCGCGAGGCTCTAATGGCCGATTTGGACATCGGCCAGGTCGCTGAAGAGAAGGGGGAAAATGTATCTCATACAGTCATCTCGCTTGCCGCGCGCCTGTCTGTTAAATTGGAGGACCGGGATATAGTGTTCGCCGAACGCGTGGGCGCTCCCACTGTCGAGTCGGGTCGTGCGCGCCGCATCGTCGTGCGACTGGCGCGCCGTGGCCTGCGCGATGAGCTTCTGACGGCCGCGCGGGTGCGCCGCACCGTCACTGATGCTGGTGGTCGGCGTATCTACGTCAATGAGCGGCTCACTAGACATAACCGTCAGCTGTTCCACCGGGTCCGTGAGGAGTGTCGCAGGCTGGGCTGGAAGTATTCCTGGACGAAACAGGGCCGCGTCTTCGCTCGCCGGGTGCAGGGGTCACCCGTCTTCCACTTCCGTTCCGAGGTTGACTTGGAGCGTGCATTCGGGCCTCTGACCTCGGCCCCACCGCCATTATTCGTCCCGCCGGGCCCTAACTCGCCGGCCTCAAATCCGCCGAGCCCCAACCCATCGGGCTCTAGCCCGCCGGGCCCAGTAGCACCGGGTCCCGCTCCGCTGCAGTCGTGCTCCAACCCGCCGGGTCCATACCGGCCTGACCCCGCTCCTCTGCAGTCGGCGTCGGCCACACCATTGTGACTCGTAGTAACCTGTTACATAGTATTTATTAGCTTTTATTGCTTTACAGTTTGTCTTCAGTTCCTTGAAGTATTACCTTTACTTTCAATTTTATTCTTATTTATTTTAAATTTATTTTTCAACCATTACCGCTTTGTTGAAGTTTTTTCAGCTTTCAGTTATTATTTCTATATTTTTTCGGATAGATTTTATATACTTCTGTGTTTAAGGGTAAATGAAAAACTGCTATTGCTTTCTTTTACTAATTTAATAATAAGAATTATATATGTTTCAAGCATTTTATATATTACATTCAATATTATTAAGTCTCTTTGCTCATGTATACATAATTCAAATAATTCAGTTACACATCAATTATTCCTATGTCAATATACATTTGTTGTACAAAGGGGTCAAATTAGGGTATTGTTTAATTCCAAAGAAAACACATTTATTTTATCTATGGGCACATGTGTACTGTTTTTCTATTATTTAAATGTAAATGGCCATTGCTAGGAATTTGCGAGTTGGTCTTTTTAATGCAGGATCCCTTAGTACAAAACATGAAGAATTCATAGTGGCAATGGAGGCTATGCAACCTGATATCATGGCTATCAACGAGACATGGCTGCGGTATGGTGAGGAGGATAATGCACCTAGACTTAAAAGTTTTCGGCTATGGCACACACCTCGGCCGGATTGCGTGCGGGGTGGGCGTGGTGGTGGAGTAGGTTTTTATTTACGAAAGGGTATCAATGTGCGCACCTGCCCTTACCCTGTAAAGCAGTCGGTTGAACAGATGTGGCTGAAAGTTCGCATTCACAACCTCTCTATAATCATAGGTACTGCCTATCGACCCCCATGGTTGGACATAGGTTTGTTCCTTGATGCAATCACTGATTCTATTACTTCTTTTGCTGGGCATGATGGGTTGGTACTGTTGGGAGATTTCAACATCAACCTTTTTGATAACAATAGTAATAAGGCAAAGATGTTGATACAGTTTCTCAATAGTGTGAACCTTGATCAGGTAGTAACTGAGGCAACTCACTTTACCGATCACAGTGAAACATTAATAGACATAATTTGTAGTGATATTAAGACAACCAAAGTAACAGTGAGACAAATTCCAGACCTTGGTAGGCATGCAATGTTGACTGCCGAATTTAAGATTAAAAAAGAAAAACCTTGTCCTAAATGGGTGCAGTATAGGCCTCTGAAGGACATAATCATAGAGCAACTACAGATGGATTTGTCCTCTATTGACTGGAGCTACTTTGAAGGAGATGTGAATAGTCTAGTTGATAGTTTCACAGCTTGTTTGTTAAATCTGTTTGATCTCCACGCCCCAGTCAACTCGCGTAAATTTAAACACCCTCCTCATCCTTGGATCACGGGTACAATAAAGTCTATGATGCGCATTAGGGATAATTACCATAACAACTTCAAAATGAATAAAACAGAGTCGCTTCATGCTTGCTACCTTACAATGAAGCGACTAGTGGTTGTGGCCATAGAAAATGAAAAAAAATGTTACTATGACTGCTACATTAATAGTAATTTGAGTAATTCTAAGAAATTATGGAATAATTTAAAAAGCACTGTGCTACCAAACACAAGGGACAGTAATGGTCTTCCTCAGTGGGTTGATAACCCAGATACTTTGAATGCATTCTTCCTAGATGCACCGGGAGACAACAGTATCCGCTTAAGTCAGCTCACTTTTTTGGAACATCACAGACATAGCTCTACCACTTTCTCATTGCAACCTGTTAATGAGGGCACAATTGCTGCAATTATAAGAAAACTCAAATCTAATGCTTTGGGTTCCGATGGTATTTCTCTTGAGATGTTGCAACTGACCATGCCATTTACTTTGCATGCCATAGCTCAGATTGTAAACAAATCTATCTCAGAGGGTATCTTTCCTGAGGCCTGGAAGGTTGCCATAATTAAGCCTCTGCCTAAGACTAGTTTGCCCTCCTCTTTGCATGACCTGCGTCCAATCAGTGTATTGCCATGTGCCTCCAAGATTTTGGAACGAGTGGTTTGTGACCAGTTCACAAAATACCTTGAGGACAACAGTATTCTCCCAGTTTCACAGTCTGGATTCCGTAAGGGACATAGCACGGCAACTGCACTGATGGATGTAATTGATGATCTTCTGACTGCTAAGGATCAGGGTTATGTTAGCGTTCTGGTTTTGTTGGACTTCTCCCGTGCCTTCGAAACATTAAATGCTTCACTTCTTCTGTCCAAGCTGTCTTATTATGGTGCTGATTCTAACACTGTTCGCTGGTTTAACAGTTATTTATCGGACAGGCATCAGTACGTGGAACTTCTGAGCCCCAGTGGAGTAAGGACACGGTCTGCTCTCCTCCCAGTCCAGCGAGGAGTTCCGCAGGGATCTATCCTTGGTCCAACTCTCTACATACTGTATAGTGCAGATATAGTAAAAAATATCAAACACTGCAAATACCATCTTTATGCTGATGATATACAGCTATATCTGTCTTTTCCACATCATGAATGGGCTAGTGCTGTATCTAAAATAAATGACGACTTGGCAGAGATAAGTACTTGGTGTAGGTTAAACTGTCTTGTTCTTAACCCAAAGAAGACAAAGTACATGTTGATAGGTTCCAAAAATAAAATTAAGAAGCTTGATAACATACAGTTAAATATCACACTAAATGGAGAACCTATACAACAGATTCATGAAGCCATGAGTTTGGGACTCACTCTCGATTGCCACCTGAATTTTGAGAGCCATATAGCGAAGTGTGTTAGATCTTGTTTTTATAGACTCAAATTAATATATAAGATTAGGCCTTACCTGTGTGAAAAGTTGCGAGTCAGATTATGTGACACATTGGTTTTGTCTAGGCTCAATTATTGTGACACTGTTTATGGCCCCTGTTTAATGTCTAAGACTTCAAAACTTATACAGCGGGTGCAGAATGCTTGTGCGCGATTTTGTTTTCATGTCCCTCCACGTTCACATGTGACCCCTGTCCTGATAAATTCTAAAATTCTTAAAATGGAAGCACGTAGGAAACTTCACCTTTCAGTGTTACTCTTTGGAATTATCAAAACCAAATGCCCTAAATACCTATATGAGAAATTGATTTGGGCTAGAGATGTTAACAGGTATCCCAACAGATCATGCTCGTACGTTTTCGTGACACCAAAGCATCGTACTGCTGCATTCCGCGGATCCTTTAGGTTTGCAGCTTCACAGTGTTGGAACGTTCTCCTTCCTCCAGTGCGCGATCTAAAACATATTAACACTTTTAGAAAACATCTTAAAAAGCATCTATTAAATGAACAATCAATTATAGCGTAACTTCTAAGTAATATGTACCTTGATTTCTTTTGCGGAATAAAGACGGAGAGGAGCTGCTTCACAGCATTGATGCAAATTGTCCGTAGCATGATTTGGCCTTATACTTTTTGACACTAGTATGTCCTGTTTCTGAATAACAGTACATAACTTATGCTTATTGCTATATGCTTATGCTATCATGTATATTTTGAATTTAAATGATTTTTTAGGCTGAAATGAATTGCTTCGCTTTGTTTTGCATTGCTTTGCTTGCTGCTAAAATGTTGTTTTTGATTGATTTTTTATTTTAATTTTTGTTACTTGAAAGCAAAGGATGATAAGTCCAAACATCCTTTCAAGTAATAAAATTTTTTTTTTTTTACATGTCGTGTTTTTTTGTGTCACTAAACAGGCCCTGCCAGAATAACAGCGCTGGTGCGACACAATGTCGCATCAGCTAATGCTGAGGCAGGGTCCTGGTTAGCCCTTAGGTTTTTTTATTTTTTTATTTGTATCTGTAATGTGTAATATCTGGGTTAATAAAATTATATTCTATTCTATTCTATTCTATTCTACTAGAAAAAAATCATACAATAATAAACATCTAGCAGTTAAATGCTTAAAAAATAAAAACATGAACATAATATTATTTAATCGTTATAAACGAACCTGGTAACCTAGCCTTGATGCATTTAGGTATAGGCAGTCCCGAACCAGGCCCCAGCGCATCCTCGGCGAGTTTGTTGAGTGCGGGAGCTAGTTCTGTGTAGAAGAGTATCTCTCGGGTGTCGAACTGAGCTTCGGCGACGAACAGCCGCCCGAACGGGTCCCGGGGCGGCAGTTTGACGACTAGCGGGAGCGCCTGGCGCTCCCCGTCGCTCTCGTAGCGGACCGTCACGGCGAGCACGCGGCTCAATGCACCCGCGACTCCTGCTCGCGACTCTACTCTCACCTGAAGCAACGACGAAACGAACATTTCAAACAATCATTCGCTTTGCAGCCTAAGAAATACTAGTAGACAGTGGCGGCGCTAGGCGTCGGCGACGTCGGCCACCGCCGACGGCCTCGCAGGGAGCCTCGCAATAAATTTTTATTGCCCGAAAACTTAGAGAACCGCTGGTTATGGAAGTAAATCTTCTCAGATTACGTTGTTACAATGTTGTAATTAACACGAAATAAGAAGAGGACGTTTTAAAAGAAAATACTGGGGTGTATCTCCAGTGGCGGCGCTAGGCGTCGGCGACGTCGGCCACCGCCGACGGCCTCGCGCCTGAGGGGGCCTCGCAAAAAATTTTTACAAGGTACCTATTTATTTTCGTTTCACCTGGCCTGGCTTAGGTAGCCGACCCCGAACAATTCGGGGAAAAAGCTAAGCAGATGATAATGACTTTTATTATTTTCGAACACGTGCGTGATGGAAGCGAGTAGTACTTTACGGGTATTCAGAATCGTCTGTCTGACAACACTATTTTTGTTATAAAATTTCTGTTTCTTATTATTTTATGTCATCATTTGATTATCAACAATAAAACTCGTTTACTCATACGTTATTTTATAATTTGGCTCACTTAATTTAACGGTTTTTACTGCGAATTAAAATAGGCCTCGCGAACTTGATGTCGCCGACGTCCACATGTGGTCTAGCGCCGCCACTGCTAGTAGAAATTCTACACGTCCAATATGGCTTCGGTATCGGAAGTGCATCCGCCCGGATAGCGGAAGGTGCAAGTTCAAATCCTGCCTGACACCTAGACCTAGTAGATAGTTTTCTAGTAACTTTTTCTAACGACCATTTTCCCTAAAAGCGTAGAGGAATAACCATTAGCATGAGACTGGCATGCTGTAGGCTTGAATATGTTGCACCCAGTTACCGTATTTTCATTACCTACTACCATTATGGGACTAAATAATAATAAAGCCTCTTTATTTCCATAATGAACAAGTAATCATCATCATCAGCCTATTAATGTTCCCACTGCTGAGGCACAGGCCTTCCCTATGGATGGAACAGGGAGATTGGGCCATGACCCACCACGCGGGCCCAGTGCGGATGGGTGGTTGCTAACGACTGCAGATGCAGCCGGGACCAACGGCTTAACGTGCCTTTCGAAGCACGGAGGAGCTCGAGATAGTAATTATAAGTGTCATAGAATTATCATCAATACATGCATGGAACTATAAAATATAACGACAATTAATATTATAAATTAAATTAGATTTTAATTAGCATTACATAATTTCATTTCATAGAATTGTCAAAAATAATAAAATTCAAATTTTAAATAGTCCATGTGTACAGTTTAGTGGTATACAAATCACACAACTTATACTCGGTTTTCACACAAACTCTAGGTGTTTTTTTCTTTCTGTCTCACAGTCACAGTCATAGAATGGTTTTCATCACTTTTGATGCTCCACAGTCTACTAAATTTCTTTAATTTTTTTTCTTTGCTTAAGTCAGTCGGTGTGATTATTATTTAATTTAAACTTCTCTCATAGAATATTAATTAAGGGCATAAGCATAATAACTTAGTACGCTGTAGAGTTGGGGCAATAGTGTAGGTACTCAATTGTTCGATTTCCGGTTGGAAACACCATTGAGTTATTTTTTAGCGTTTCTCAGTTTTCAGATAAGATATAATAAAAAGAGTGGGTACAGCGGAGTGGTTACTTTCTTTAAGAGTAGCTTAAATCAATCAAAGATGAGTAGATACACTTTGGGTATCATGGTAGTTGGTAGGAATGTATGTTTTTAAGCTATTTTGATAGATTTGCATATGCTTATCACGCATCACAAAAATGAAAAGGAGAGTGTTGTCAATTTAATTTTAAACTTAGAGAACATGCCAAGAATTGTGTATTTAAATATATTAAGAGGTGTGATCTGACGTAATGCACGCCTCTCTTGCACTTGACCTCGCTGATTTAATATGAAAGTATTATCACTTGTACTTCTTTTTAGGCATAACAATCTAACAATAAATTTGTAAAGATGAACACTAAGTTCAAAAAATAGCTAAACATGTAAACTGATTTTCCTTACCTATGTTGTATCAAGGGAGGGCGGTCGTCTACTCAAAGGTCCTGGGTTCAAATTTTGGTGGGGCAAATGTTTGTTTAATGATTACGAGCCATAACGATTATATAAGTATTATGAATAGCGATTTATTTCTATTACTAGCTGTCCCAGCGAACTTCGTACCGCCATAAAAAAATAGGGGTTGGTGGTAGAAGGGTGAAAATTTAGGGTTGTATGTATTTTTGTATGATGTATCATAAAAAATTCTAAAAATGTTTTTTTATCTAAAATTAAAAAAAAATGGGGGGGGCGGTACCCTTAACATTTAGGGGGATGAAAAATAGATTACATCCGATTCTCAGTCGAGCCTCCAAATCGGTCGAGCCGTTTCGGAGGAGTTTAACCACAAACACCGCGACACGAGAATTTTATATATTAGATGAATATGTTACTCTATATAGTATCTGATGGTATCCTATAACAAATAAGCTATACAGTGCTTTATTTGGGGCTAGACTAATATTTTTTAGAGTTATAAATATTTGTTTTTTTTTTCTATATATATATATGAATTACAGAATCACCAGGGTTTAAAATTTTAAGCATAATCTGTTATACTTGCTTATAAAGATATGTACAAGAACAGCTAGATTATTCCCTGTCCTGTCGTAACTGCGAGATGCATAACTAACGAATCCGGTGATTAGAGATTAATTGATTGCAATGGGAGAGCAATTAAGCTAATGAAAGGTCACCTCATTGGCGACGACCACGCCCGCGCCGGCTAGCAGCTCCCGAGCCCACTCCTCGGTGAGGGCGGCGTCCGCGTCGGGCTCCGCCGCCGGCTCGCAGTCCGACTCCTCACTGCCGCTGCTGCAAGCCTCCGACACGGCCGCGCTGTCCGGCCCCGCCTGCATCCTCGGCTACTCACGCACTAACCCTGTCGCCCGCACATCACACTACACACTAATACTGGTGTAAAGCAGCCCGGAGATGAGAAATAATTTAGTTTAAAGGTGGTCCTGCAGCGATGAATGCTCGGTGTCGAGGCCCGCGGGGTAATGGTACGGCGCATGCGCGCGCTTCCCTCTAATTATTCATCGCATTCATCGAGTCACCGGCCGGTGACGTGCCTGCCGCAAGTTTGCAACTGCTCTCGAATAGAAGTTCGCTCGCTGCTACAAGGCCACTTAAGCTATCCTATGTAATAATAAAACATTATTAAGAGTTTTGGTTTCTTTATTTTTCTAATCAACTATATTTTTTCTGTACCTACTGTGCTCAATAAATATTTTTGATATTCGAATTAAGTATCTACTTTACATTACTACAAATGAAGAAGTACTAACCTCGCACCTGTTTCGTAAAAAATATTTATTTTATGACGTGTGCGGTGCTAAAAACACTTATTGATTGAATACAATAATAAAGGATATCACTAAAGACTACAATAGGAAACTTACGTTTACTTTGTTTTATTTATACTATTTCGTAGTGGAATTATTTAAACTATCTTATCTAACGCTTCTAGCCGACGCAATTGGTGCCCAACGTGGGACTAGAAAGTGTGGATGAGGGTTGTTTGAGAACTGGAGCGCGTCTGTGGAAGAAAACTCTGCCTTAGAAGATATTTGAGCCATACAGCGCGTAAATACGAATTCTGTCTTAAGTTTGCAGGAGAATTAGTCCGCCTAGTACAATATTTTAAGATTTTCTGAGATAAATGTACTTAGTTTGATAGATCAGTTCTGAACAATACCGCTCAAATTATAGTCGTAGGCCACATGAAATCTACTTTGGATTGAGCACTGAGCAAATCCACGGTTCAAAACTTGAGTTCAAGTCAACGTTAAACTTTTTGTGTAAAATTAAAGAAACCCGCGAAGTTCAATCCGGAATACAGTTTCATTTATCTACCTTTTATAAGGTTGGTTATTCAATAATCCTTTTTTTTAAGTGCACAAACTATAATTATATTTTTACTACCTTTTTATCATATTAATATTAGGGATCCGCAACCCTAAAATAATGTAAAATTGTTTTAACACTAATATTGGACCAAGAATCCGTTATCCATGTTCGCCCATAATGCCGGCTCTTCACATGGCTATTCGTATTTGCTTGATGCACTATTGGTTGCTTTCCAATTACACGCACAATGCCGAATTATGCTGATGCTTAATTGGAACGTGAATTAGTTTTCAAATGCACCAGCAGAGTGCGCTAAGTTCAGTGTTGAAAAAAAAGTCAATGTTTGTACGTTCATCCATACTTATATTTATTTTTTTAACAGTTTGAATTAA